TTTTGGGCTCACCGAAGATAACTTATCTTCATTGACTGAAGAATTATATATATATATATATATATATATATATATATATATATATATATATACATGAGAAAAATATTTCTCTGGAGATAAAATTATCTCCAGTGAACTCAAAACGACGTCATTTTGTGATTATAAGATTAAAATTTTTTAATGATAAAGACTAATATAACCCTGCAATATAATAGGATTACAAAAATACCTTGATTTACGCCCCAAAATGATGTCGTTTTGAGCTCACCGAAGATAACTTATCTTCATTGACTGAAAAAATCCTTTACCCTATATATATATATATATATATATATATATATATATATATATATATATTATAATACCCCTAATAATTAAAATTGCATTAATTAAAGAAATAATGTATAATTGATGGATTAAATTATATGGAAGTCTAGTTATAAACTAAGAGTGTGAAGTGGGAGAGGAACATGTAATAAGTGAAAGGACCAAGGGGTAAGAGAGTAAATTCGCAATTAGATATTTTTTTATCATAAAAGCTTCCTCTCTCCTCTCCATTCTCCTTCCTCATCGTCTCTATCATCTCCCTCTCCCTTTTCATTTTTCTTTGTCTAAACTCCACCATAAGAGTCAAGAAGAAGCTTCCATTGCACTTGGTTCCCTCTAATAACCTCATTTCCTCATTCTTCACCTCTTTAACTACTAAGAAGCTAAGATTTGAGAGGAAGAGATCCACCATTCCTGTGCCATTTTCGTGGGTCTTGAAGAGGATAGCCATTGATGGGATTTTTGAGCTTTTGGAATGTTGGAAATCAACTTGAGTGAAGCCTTGAGGTAAGCCATAACCATTGTAGGTTGTTTTCTTGGGTTTTAGTGGATCTCATGATTTTGGGGTTAGGGTTTGAGGCAAAAATTCGAGATTTAAAAATTAATGAATTAATAATGGTGTTGATGCTTGAACCATTGTTGTTTGATGTAGAAATATTGATCCTATGGTTGAGTGCATGTGGAGATCACCATAGGAACCTATTGGGAGTTAGTGTTTCGCTCTCGGAATTGGAGAACTTGTAGGTTGGACAATTATAATTGGTATTATTGTGAGGATGGTGCCAAGAGGAAGCTAGAGGATAAGCCTACAAAGAAGTAAACTCTTGGATTTTGGGGACTTTGCCCCTTGTTCCACCACACCCCATAGGTTGATGTGGTTTGTATAGCATGTGTGTACATTGGTGTGAAAATTGGATGCATATACATGTTCTTGTATTGTGGTTGGTCTTACGCTTACGCTTATGCTTGACTAGATTGGTTGGTCTTGCGCTTATGTTTGACTGGATTGGATGGTCTTGCGCTTATGCTTGACTAGATTGTTCTCTGGCCAGTAGAATTGTTATATGTTGAATGTTATATGCTATTTTGATGCCTGTATAACATGTAAGTGAACTCAGGGTTGGAGGAGTCTCCAAGGTCCCTGAGTTTACTGAGATTGTCTCTCACCCCTTGTGAGATTTATTTTCATCATCTATAGACAGTGCACGGGACAGACCTCAGGGAAGGAGGCCCGAGCAGTGAGGCCTATTTTCACACTCATTTTGAATATTTTGACATGTTTGCATCTTGTATCATTTGATGGAGGCTATAGCTAGAATTTTGATTATGCATGCAATTATGTCAAGATGAATATTTTGTGAAAAAGCATGGTGAAACTTGAGTTGTAATTGAGTTACCATTAGATATGTAATTGAGACTATGGATAATTGTATAATCATATGAGTTCTTGTACAATTGAATAGCTTCTTATTTTAGATTATGATGAATGGTTGGAAGTTGAATGATATGTTGAATATATATGGTCTGTTAGGTACCTTCATGGGGGGTTTTGGTTCTTCCAATAGAGGTTAAATACCTCAAAATAACCATCCCATGCCTTGGAAAGCATGCTAAAGCGCCCTTGGCGCGCTAAAATGCGCTATGAGGTCTAAAGATCGAAATATTCTCTGTTGCTGCGCACTAAAGTGCCATAATGAGCGCTAAATGACCAGAAAATGCAATTTCCTCTGTCGTTGAGCGCTTAAGCTCTCTAATGCGTGCTAAAACGCACTAAAATATGAAGCTAACACATAGACCTACAACTATACAAAATTTTAGAACCATTGGACTTATAGATAAAAATTGGTATCATTTTGAAGTTGATACTCTATTTCCAGAAGTACGATTTGGATCGGCAAAATTGCGATTTGCGTAACCCGGACTATACTTAACTGATTGGTTAAAACTATACCTTTTCGGAAAGCCCAGAATGTATACTTTAATATCCTATAAGATATGAGGGCTAACGATTAAGTCATCTAAATTACCATAATTAATGACTCTGATGTATTGACAAGAAAAGACAGATTTTACTTGCATATCTGCTACAATTACTTTGATTTCCTTTTGCGCTTAATGCCATAACTAATGATGATACACCATGTGCACACGGTGTTACATGTATATTTCCTAATGAAATTTTTTGGATTCACTACTGATGGACATATTTCCTATTATATCAACTAAAGTATGGGTATCACCACGGTCGCCTTTCATAACAAAGGTCTACTCTTTTTATAAATACAAAAGATAAATCCTTGAATATAATTATATTCATATAAGTGATTCGAGTGTTAAGAGTCATTTTTTTATTTTGGTAACATGAGTGTTAGAGTCATCAGTGGCGGAGCCGGGCTCCAATTTGAGCCCGGACCAAAAAATTATATGTGTATTTATTTTTCATAATTTTAGTTCGTTCATATCATAATATATTTAAATTATATTAAATGCAGAGCACCTGAGCAGGCAACACTAAGAATAATTATAATTTTATTAAATATTTTTTAATTTTACTATATATATATATATACATATATTATGGCTTTAATATTTCTAAAGTGAATGTAAATAAGTTATCTACATTTTCTCCCAAAACGACATCGTTTTGGGTTGAATAATTAAAAAATTATAATGAAAAAGATGACTATAACCTTGAAACAAATTATAATTACAAAAATAGTTTGATTTTTGCCTTAAAATGACGTCGTTTTGGGTTCAATGTAACATTGACCGTAGAAAAAGCGAACCCATTTTTTATATAAGTAAAAAATGAACACATAACCTAACACAACTCACCCAGATCTTTTATAAAAAATATTTTAAGTTTTAGATAAGGCCAAATTACAAATTGTAGCCTGTGCCAAATTACAATTTTTACCCGGCTAAATTATAATTAATTATTTATCTGCATTTATTTCCAAAACGATGTTGTTTTGATATTGAAAAATTAAAAAATAATAATTATAAAGACTATAATAATCCTGAAATAAATTAAAATTATAAAAACATCATAATTTCTGCCCCAAAACGACGTCGTATTGGGGTTACTGCATACAAAGCGAACTTTTATACATAATAAGTACAATTTGTTAAAATTTAACCCGAGCCTAGACCACGCTCAGCCAACACATGGCTCCGCCATTGAGAGCCATTATAATCATTGTTAAAGATGAAGTAAAAAAAATTCACGAACATATTCCTTTCAACCAAAATATCACATATTGAACAATAAATAAATAATCAAGAACAAAGCTTATAATAAAAACTAACTTTAGCAAGAACAAGATTTTACTAGTGAAAAGAAGCCTTAAGGGCATGTTTGGTGCATAATATAAGATAAAACCTGATAGTATAATATCTGATTGTGTAAGACCTGATTAAATTTTATTACTATCTTGCGTTTGGTATGATATTGTATAAGATAATATCCTCCAATATTTTAAAAATTAATATATTAAAAAAATTTATTTTAATATATTAATATTGAAATGATATATTAGTTATTGAAAATTGTGCTTGTAAGTAATATTAATACATCAACCCCTTATGAGGCCTAATCCCACCCCCTTAGGCTTAATTAAGTTATACATCATTTTGATGTATTAAAGGATTCTGCTGTATAAGCTTATACTATACGATAGTCACACCAAACAACTGAAAATGTCATAACGTATAGTATAAGCTTATACTATCAAGCCTTATATATCACACCAAACGGGCCTAAGTGATTTTTTTTTTTTACTGAATTATCATTCTGTAATTGAAAAAATGAGAAAAAGAACCATGGGAACATTAGATATAAATATTAGCAACTAAATCACAGTTATGATTTGGAATGAAGAGTAGAGTAATCCAAAATTTGCCAGATGTAAAAGGGTTGTCTATAAACCTCAAAATTCTTCATAGCAATGTTCGAGGCAAACGTCAACGAATAACACGAACTCAACACGAGGGACCGTGCATTTTGATTTGATACCTACGAGGCTACGCTTGCGAGAATCACCATTAATGATTCAAGACCCGGAGACACATGATCATGTTTTTTAACTTTCCCCTTTGCGACCTGTAATATAATCTCCTACACGTCTTTCTACCTATAAATGTCCTTCCTCCTCTGCGCTTTCAATGTTAATCTTGTCGTACAGTCGCACCAAATCGAATTTAATTTTTGATAGTGAAATTATTACTGGACAGATAGTCAATAACACTAGAGTTCTAAGTTCTAACTAACAAGAGTCTTTTCAGACTATTTATTAAAGAATTAAAAACAAAAAAGTATAAATAAAATTTTAATATGTTAAAAACATTTTTCTTTAATTATTTAACAAAATTCTACTTGATGTAGCTAAATTATTTATTAGAATTTTTAATTATTTTCATTTTATTAATAAATTTAATATTTCTCATTTTATAAAAAATAAAATTATTTTTTATACACACAAAAATATATGAAGCTGTGTAAAAAGAAAAAAAAGAAAAAAAAACCTACGTAGCTTACCAAAAAAAAAAAAAAAAACCTGCGTATTTTTTTTTTAATATATCTATAAAAAATAATTTTATCTACGTCATATTAAGCCCTTTATTAATATAACATAACTCGGAGTCAGAGAGTAGAATAGAGAACGAAAGTTTCAGAACAGAGTGTCATTCAGCTCCGAACATATTTCTCTTTCTTCCAATCCGAACAGACCCTTCTCTGCTGTCATCGTAAATTCATCACCTTTTTTGTTTTTTCTAACTACCCTTTTAATCTTTCATCCTGTTTTTGATTATTATTATTGGGAACATTTGATTGTTCTCTTTTGTTGATTCATCTCTTCGCTGATTTTTTTTTTTTTTTTTTTCCTTGGATGATTGTAAGCTATGCAGTTGCTGATTTCGCAGTGAGAGATAGGTTTTTCGGAATATCCCAGAGGTTTATATGATGGCGAATAACTTAGCGGGGCAGCTCGTGGGCTCAGGCATACATGGATTCCACACATTGCAAGGTACGTACTGTACTTTTGATCTTTGAATTATGCTGATTTTTTGTTTATCCTCTTCCAGTATCAATTTTGAAAATTTATGTCTTGTTCTTTCTCTGTCTGTATGTATGCCTTTCTCTCCTGTTTTTCTTTGGGTGTCGAAAACAAAGTTGAAATTTTGATGTTCGAGATTTTTCTTGTTTGTCGTTTGGTTACAAGTAGAGGTAATTTTTAATTTCTTGTTTAAATACTAGTATGTGAATTTTAATGATACCTAGTAGTGGAAAGGACAGGGGTCGGTTGTCAATTGTGTAATAATGTTTTTTAACAGTTCTTTGTGTTTCTTTTATGGCGAGATCAATCACTAGAACTAGAAAACAGGCTCAGAATTTTTTTTCTTGTGTCTAAGATGTAGCTTTTCTTACTTGTTATAGTCAGTATCTCATTCAATAACTGAGGGTAGAGTATATTAATGTTGTTAGTAGTACTAAATAAATGTTCAAACACAATGCCCTAACATTTAGCTAGAACTTTGATGATTTTACAGGAGTTAGTCCCTAGATCAGATGAATCATCTTAAAAGTCTACTATTTCATGAATATTTGTTTTGGTTAGGCCATATCTAATGAGAAGAATTAAAGTATTTGAATATGAAGAAGTGGCTCTAAATATTCAGTCAATATGGTTGAATGGTATAGAAACTCATTCTTTTTAAGATTGGTTTAAAATTACAATTTATATTTTCACCATGCACTTCCGTTCCTATTTGCTGCTTCCCACTGCAACTCTTACCTGGACTACCAATTGCTTGGTCAATGATATATCAATCATCTCCATTTATTTGTTGTTCTGAAATATTTTCTTATATGTCCCAGAGCTGGATATGGGAAGCATTAGGGAGGAAGCAAGAACCAGATGGCTTCGTCCCAATGAGATTCATGCCATACTTTGTAATTCCAAGTATTTCACCATCAATGTCAAACCAGTTAATCTGCCCAAAAGTAATGTTCTATATTGCTGTTAGCAGTAACGTGATTTTTGTGAAGATATGCATCAGATTCATTCTGCTCTACCATTCATTTTTGTATAGATGCTTTTTATCATCATATTCATTCCTGTCTTTTTTAGTTTCTATTTCTTAATTTCCACATTTTACCAACTGCGGGAAGCTTTCCATGATAATCATACTTCAGAGCATTTTTTGATTTGTAGCTTGTTTTATAAATTGTGAACTTCTATACCCTTTAATTCTTGTTTTATGATTTGATTTTTTTATCTCTTTTGTTTAATTTTCTTTTTTAGGAGGATCTATTATCCTCCAATCTCTTTGTAATCTTGTTCTTTTACCTTAATGAATTTATTCTTTCATTGAAAAAGAATTATGCACCATTTAATTGGATATATCATGAATAAAGCAGTATAAAGTCTCACTGTGAATGATTTTTCATACATGTATCTTATAGAATTTTGATTAGTTGTTTTGCATGTCAGTAATAAGTTTTCACTATTACGGATTAGATGATGTCAAATCTCCAGTCATATTGTTATCTTATTATTATTACTATTATTTTGTGTATAAACAGGTGGTACTATTGTATTATTTGACCGCAAAATGCTTAGGAACTTTCGAAAAGATGGGCACAACTGGAAGAAGAAAAAGGATGGGAAAACTGTTAAAGAAGCTCATGAGCACTTAAAAGTGAGTGTTTTCATTTTTTTGGTTGTGTGTATTTGTGTTCATTTGAATTTTATTGTGGAAACTAGCATATTGAATTTAGTTTTTTAACAGATTATATATGGCACAATTTATCATTTTCTGTTAATGTGGGATGTGAAGGGAATAAAATATGATGACACAAAGATGATAGAGGGTCTAGCAAGTAGCCTCATAAGCACTAGGCTTCGTTAAATCTTAAAAGACATAAGACTTCTTGGAGCTCAGTTTTCTACTTTACCGGTTTTATCGTTGCTTATCAATTCAATGTGCTTTTTCCGTAAGTAGTATTTTTTTTAAAGGAATTTTGGTTGGCGGACAGTATGTCTTAGAAAGGAATGGAGAAAAGCTATAAGTATGGTGGAGGGTTAGACTCGCTGTTACTCCTATGTTCCAGATGGTCCTTTTTTAGTCCTTTTCCCTTTCATTTCCCCCACTTCTTCTTGTCCCTTTCTTTTTTACTTTTATTTATTTATATATACATATATTTTTATTTCATTTTATTTTATTTTATTTGTGTATTTTTATTTATTTATTTATTTATTTATTTTTTATTTTTTATTTTTTATTTTTTACTTTTTTTCAACCGTTTTGTATCTTTCATGTGGGTTCATCTACCACCGACCCCAATTAATTTGGGATAAAGGTGTTGTTGATGTTGATGTTGATGTTGACTAGGTTTAGATATCATCTTCCGTTGGACCTGTAAGTGCTGAAGTAACTAATTCGATGGTGGTTATGTAATGCATTATCTCTGCTTTGGATGTTACAGTTTGTGTACAATGATTCAGTCACATGTTTATCATTCTTTTTGCGTAATATTTGGGGAAGAGATTGTGTTCCTACTCTTAATCACATTTTCAGATTACAGAGTTAGTTATGTATTATCATATTTCCTTCCTCCAGTTTTTGTTGTTATTGATTCTGAAGTTAGATTGAGTCAGTAACATCATATCTGTTTTCTGACATTCTTTTTGGTTATTCTTTTCTTTTCCCATTCAATCAGGTTGGCAATGAAGAAAGGATCCACGTATATTATGCACATGGCCAAGATAACCCAAACTTTGTTCGTAGATGTTATTGGCTGCTTGATAAGTATGCATATTAATTGTTAACTTTAAGGCCCCAATTCCAACATGTTGTGCATGTCCATACTGTTGTAGTAATCATCCTTCTGTAATTATTGTATATATTGATTAGAGCATAGATTTGAAATAATTTTGCAAATAGTAATGTGACCTAAAATTGCTGTCACTATTTTCTTTTCAGGAGTCTGGAACACATAGTCCTTGTTCATTACCGTGAAACACAGGAGGTTGTTTTTATCATTTCCTTTTTTTTTCCCTTTCAAAAGTTTAATTTCACACCACAAACCATGATTTATCTGTGCCATCTTTTATGTTGTTTTGGCTGAAAGAAAGACCTCGTACATTTATTGTCAATGTGTTATTAGTCAGTTATTGATCCTCTATGATGCACAGATACTCCAAAATTGGTGATGTATCCATATCCAATACCGATACTCATACGATATCCCTTCATTCTTATTTTTGGCATATCCCATTTTTTTTTTTTGTGATACCCACCACTCTCAAAGTATTGCTACACTAGAAATCTAGGATCTAAAAGCATATTCTCGCTTGTGCAATCTAGCCATGTCAAAATCACATACAGAACAGTAGACTTTCATCCTTACCAAACTAGGTGGAGAAGGCGCCAGTGTGAGAGCAGGAAAGAGTTAGGGAAAGGAAAAGGAACTATTGAGAGGGAGAAAACATGTAACATGGGTTGGTGTGATCACATGTAGATAGTTTCTTTTACATATATAAAGTTAATTTTTTGTTAATAAAATATTTTCATGCTGCATCTTAATTTTTTAGAAAAAAATTGTACTTGCATATCGTATCAGATCATATGCTTGTACTCGTACGCATGCAACATTGATGATCCTTAGGTCAGTGATGTAGTTTTATCCATTTAAACATGACGGATACACCATGATTCTGTCTATAAGAAAAATTTCTTTCAGCAACAATGTTTTTTTCTATTGGTATGGTGGGAATATTTCATTTGTTCTATGTGTATAGTGCACAGGATCTTTTATTTTTGGGTATTATGAAGCAGCTTGTATAGTGTTGTTTACTGTTTCATGCGTTTGAAGGGATAATATCCAAATCCAACATTGGATTTGTAGCAGATTTGATGATGGATATAAGCTCCAAAATTTTATTAGTGACGACAAGTGAGATAAGCATTTATATGAGGTCATATGTTGTCCTATTTCATATGTTGTGGGACAGTTGGGCTGGGACATGACAAAATATTGACACAGTCATCATTAGTAGGATAATGACAGTTTAAGAGTTTGCATTAAGACTGCCAAGTAGAGTTTTATGCATGCTTTTATTTAAAAAAAACTTGAGTTTTTGAATTGTTAATGAGTTGGCTATTTTAAAGTTGAGAGTTGCTTATTGTGCTGCTTTACTTCTTTCTATTATACCCGGTATAGTATGCTCTTTTACTTGTTTTCTTTTTATTTAATATTTGGCTTGGATTGGAGATTAATTTTTTTTGTTCTATTCTTTTAAACTAAAGGGACTATGTGGCTTTTTGTGGCAGAGGTGATCCATATCATATCCCCTGAAAAATTTAAGTTTAAAAGAACTTTAGGTAGTCTTCTTGCTACAGTGTTTGAAAAGGATGCTGAGATAAAAATTTATATCATACACATTGTTTCATTGTATTGAAAATTGCGTCTTTTTCTCCTTCTAGTCTTCTTTTAGAATTTAGAGTAAAGTTCTTTTGCTTTCTCTATAGATATAAGAAGTACATTTTTGGAAAGACACTACTAGCATTTCATCACTTTGTTGCTCACTTGCTCTTCATGTAAGACACTTAAACGCATTTTATAATTAGACATAAAGTCAATGTTTAAGGTGTCATTTATGCTTTAACATTGATTGTGATAATGAATATAACTTGGCTTTGTAACGTTTTTTGGTTTGTGGTTTATGATACAGTTGCAAGGTTCTCCTGTCACTCCCGTAAATTCAAACTCTAGTTCTACCTCTGATCCAACTGTACCATGGATTTTATCAGAAGAGATAGATTCAGGGACTGCAACTCCATATGCCAGTGGTGAGAAATAACTTTAAATGATTGCAGTCTATCTTCTTACTAGTTATACTGTTGAAAGCTATCAATATGAAAGGCTTATGACATTTATTCGAAACATTTATTTTTTAATTTTGAACATATTAAGGGTTTATTTATAAATAGTGGGGCAGAATAGAGTTATCAGAAAAGAACACGTGCATGTCTTTATTTATTGCAATTAAATTTCTCCACCACATTTTTTTCTGCTCATCTTTCCAGAGGAAGCAGAAGAGAAGAGTTCCTTTTTCGGTTTATGATGCTGTATGTGTCTGGTCATATTGTTGATGCCTTGATTTTAAGAAGAAATATATAAACTGTTGACGTCATGGTTTTTTTAAAATTAAAATTAAAATAAAAACATGGATGTTGTAGTTGTCTTTACTTGACAAGGTACATATTCTCATTCCTTCTGTTTTGGAGATAATTAGAGATTAATGACAATGTAACAGTTAAAAGTCATGAACTGAGGCTCCATGAGATTAATACACTTGAATGGGATGACCTAGTGGTTGCAAATGATCTCAACACGTCGACTGTGCCTAATGAAGGTAAATAATTATTGATTATGCTTTTACCACAACCAGTCGCTTGTCTGGAAAGCACCTTAGTAATTTGTAATAACTTTACCTTTAACTTCTTGCAGGCAAAGGTCCGTATTTTGATCAACAAAATCAATTTTTACTGAATGACAGTTTCAACAACGTAAGATAATAGTATCTTTCTTTCATTTGTATTCATTATTCTGTTCTTTGTTGTGTGATGGAAAAGTTAGTCCTTTGATTATTTTCCTTTATTTTTAATATGTAAAGAGAAACTGTATCAGAGAGAAAAGAACAGAAGCACGACTAGGGGGAGGATAAAGTATCCTCCAATACCAAAAATGGAAAGGATAAGGAAGAATAAAGATTCAAAGATGCAGAAAGACTGCCCAGTCTGCATTTTGGTAGTGGAAACTCGTGAACCAGCCACGAGCTAATCACTAGAGAGAAGCCAAAAACACAAACCTAACTAAAAGCAAACCAAGGGTCTGAGAGACACTAAAAAATGCAGGCATTCTGTTCCAACCAAATGGTCCAAAGAACGGCAAAACTGCACAGTGCCACAAAATTTTGGCCTCCTTATTGTTAGTTTTTTGAATTTTATCATTAGACCCCGTCGTCCTCTTTGATGTGTGTGTAATAGAGAGGTTTTATTATAATTCTTTGACAACAGATTTTGATGGCAGCCTTTCACTATTAAATTATTGTTTCATTGTAGATGATAAGGAATTAAAAAGCTGCTTTTCTTTTATTAAATTTGTTTTCAAATCAACTATAATCACATATTAAAAAGCCACAGCCATTTTGAAGAAGCGACCTTGAAATTATGGTCAAGGCAAGGTTGTTTGTTTTTCAATTGCATACCTCTAATTTATATACTTTTTCTTTGCTTCTTCCTTCTTCTTCTCCCTTGGTAAGAGTTGCTGCCCTAAACTATATAGGGTTTTTGTCACCAGGTAACCAGCAATCCATCTGCAGGAATTCCTTCTTTTGATAGTTTAACTCAGCCAATTGCTGGGAGCAATAGTGTTCCTTACAATTTTTCAGAAAGGGTTAATCTTGAGAAAATGGACAATCAAGTAAATTCAAATGAGCAGAGGAATCATCCTGTTTCTGTAAGTGGTGTTGATTCCTTAGACACTTCGGTCAATGGGGGATTGCAAAGTCAGGACAGCTTTGGAATGTGGGTGAACCACATCATGTCTGATTCACCATGTTCATTGGGTGAATCAGCTCTTGAATCCTCAGTTTCATCCATGCATGAACCATATTCATCTGTGGTAGTGGATAATCAGCAACTTTCTCTGCCGGAACAAGTATTCAATATCACTGATGTGTCCCATGCATGGGTGTCTTCTACCGAGAAATCAAAGGTTTCCTCACATATCTACTTACGTAGCAATTATTTTCTGTTTTAATTATATCTTTAACAGTTAACGCTAAGGTATTTTTTGGTTTCTTACTTCTTAGTTGATTCCTCAGTTTTTTCACTCAATCTTGAATTCCTGTAAAATTCCAAAGCTGCATACTATGAAATATAAACTCCATTAAGAATATTTTTTATAGGTTTTCTCCAATGTTGCCAAAATTCATTTTCAGTTTACCAAGAGCTAAACACAAAAAGAGGCAGAGGTAGGCCAAAGCTTACTTGGGGGAAAGTAGTAAAACAAGATTTAATGGAGTGGGATATAGATTGGCGGACAGTATGTCTTAGAAAGGAATGGAGAAAAAGCTATAAGTATGGTGGAGGGTTAGACCCGCTGTTATTCCTATGTTCCAGATGGTCCTTTTTTAGTCTTTTCCCCTTCATTTCCCCCACTTCTTCTTGTCCCTTTCTTTTTTACTTTTCTTTATTTATATATACATATATTTTTATTTCATTTTATTTTATTTTATTATTTTATTTGTGTATTTTTATTTATTTATTAATTTATTTATTTATTTATTTTTTATTTTTTATTTTTTTTACTTTTTGTCAACCGTTTTGTATCTTTCATGTGGGTTCATCTACCACCGACCCCAATTAATTTGGGATAAAGGTGTTGTTGATGTTGATGTTGATGTTATGAGTAGCACTTTGGCTACAAGCATCCACATATTCATGTGTATAAATTGCAACAAAATTTAACACAGTAAATACTTGCTGTATGATCAATTCATATGTTGCCACCTGTTATTTTCCAATTATTGCTAGATTTTCTAAGTTTCTTTACTTCTTGCAGGTCCTGGTGACTGGATTCTTTCATAAGGACTATCTGCACCTTTCAAAGTCCAATCTATTGTGTGTCTGTGGTGATGTTAGTGTTCCTGCAGAAATCATTCAGGTTGGCGTCTATCGATGCTGGTTATCACCACATTCTCCTGGACTTGTGAATCTCTACTTGAGCTTTGATGGCCATAAGCCTATTAGCCAAGTTGTTAATTTTGAGTATCGTACTCCTGTTTTGCATGATCCTGCAGCTTCTATGGAAGAGAAGGACAACTGGGATGAATTTCGACTTCAAATGAGGCTTGCTTATTTGCTCTTTGCTAAACAACAAAGCCTTGATGTTTTCTCTTGTAAAATATCACCTAATGGACTGAAGGAGGCAAGGAAATTCGCCTCCAAAACATCATTTATTTCCAGTAGTTGGCAATACTTAATCAATTCAACTGAAGACAACAAAATTCCATTTTCACAAGCAAAAGATGCCCTATTTGAAATTGCATTGAAAAACAGACTAAAGGAATGGCTTTTGGAAAGAATTGGTTTAGGCTGTAAGACTACTGAATATGATGCGCAAGGCCAAAGTGTAATCCATTTGTGTGCTATTTTGGGATATACTTGGGCTGTTTCCCTATTTTCATGGTCAGGCCTATCACTGGATTTCCGCGATAAATTTGGATGGACAGCTCTTCATTGGGCAGCATATTGTGGAAGGTATAATACACAGACACCCCAGTTGTTTAAACTGTTAGCCTTGCTGCAACCACATTGACCTGAAATTCCTTTGCTGACATGCTTTTGTCATTCAAGCTCTTTTTGGTTTCCTTTTTCCCTACAGATAACCAGCATTAACCTAACCTGTGTGAATTTAGCATGAATTTAGGTAAAATAGGCCGCATGAATTTTATATTATATTTGATTGAAAATTTGTGTCTTCAGGGAGAAAATGGTTGCAACTCTGTTGTCTGCTGGGGCAAAGCCAAATTTGGTCACTGATCCAACTCCACAAAATCCTGGTGGATGTACTGCTGCTGATGTTGCTTATATGAGGGGTTATGATGGCTTAGCAGCTTATCTTTCAGAAAAGTCTCTGGTTGAGCAGTTCAATGACATGAGCTTAGCTGGAAATATCAGTGGCTCACTGCAAACTAGCGCGACTGATCCTGTAAATTCTGAGAACCTTAGTGAGGACCAGCTGTACCTGAAGGATACGTTGGCAGCTTACCGAACAGCTGCTGAGGCAGCAGCACGCATACAAGCTGCATTTAGGGAGCACTCCCTAAAATTGCAAACTCAGGCAGTTGAGTTTTCCAGTCCAGAGGCTGAAGCACGCAAAATAGTTGCAGCAATGAAGATTCAACATGCCTTTAGGAACTTTGAGACAAGGAAAATGATGAAAGCTGCCGCTCGCATTCAGCATAGATTCCGTACATGGAAGATTCGTAGAGAATTTCTCAACATGCGCCGTCAGGCTATTAAAATTCAAGTAAGAGCTACTCTTCCTGCCTCTCTCATTGCTGGTAGTCCTGAGTAAAGCATGTTAATTTTAAATCCATGTTATATGTTTGTCATATTTTAAGCTGATTAAAATTGACTGCAGATGTCAGTTGGCTCAAACGCTAACATGACATTTTTCCACGAAGTATGAGAACAATTGTGCTCATCTAAGAACTTTTAGTCATCATACATCTGAGCTTTAACAGATTTTGTTTGCTAAATTGACTCTTGTTGGGTTGTTTCTTATAATTTACGTCTAATGTTACAATGCAGGCTGCTTTTCGGTGCTTCCAAGTGCGGAAGCATTATCGAAAAATTCTTTGGTCTGTTAGTGTGGTTGAGAAAGCAGTGCTGCGTTGGCGTTTGAAGAGAAGGGGCTTCCGTGGGCTGCGGGTTAATACTGTTGAAGAAGCAATGGGAGACCAGAATCAGCAAAGTGACACGGAGGAGGAATTCTTTCGGACTGGTAGGAAACAAGCTGAAGAACGTGTTGAGAGATCTGTAGTACGTGTGCAGGCTATGTTCCGTTCTAAGAAAGCACAAGAAGAGTACAGGAGGATGAAGTTGGCTCTTAAACAAGCAAAGGTGACTAATTTATGCAATATGTTGGTATTAGTGCTAGGAGGATTTGATTTTGTTGTATATTTACTTGTAGAATATTCCTTTGTGCAGATGGAAAGGGAATATGAACAACTCCTCAGTACTGAAGTTGACATGGAACTGAAGACATAGGTTAGTCAAAGTTCCTCGACAGGTTCTTATTTTTGGGATGCAGCCAACACCTTATGACTCCTGTGACAAACTAGTGATGTATAAGGGAATGTTGGTGCTGTTTTTGTACATTCTGTTGATCTTGTAAATTCCCTTTGACCCTTTGGAATTTCCTTAATATCCTGAATGGGTCATCTAGGAAGTTTTCATGTGTAATTGGTCTCTACATGGTTGATTCTTCTGATTCAAGATCTAGTTACGACTGAAATAGCACACACTCCCAAAGTTGAATAGACAGAATAGTTGTTTACTACAAGCCTGGTTTGGGGATGGTAACAAGCTTATAAGACAGAATAGTTCATGCGAGCCCTTACTGTTTTGTATAAACTTAAATAGATAGTTAATTTGAGCTAATAGGGGGCCATAAGCATTTACGAGACATTTTTCAATCCGAGTTTCTTTAAGAACTGAGTAGGAGAAAAAGAGGACTGACTATTAACTTCACCATCATTAGTTACAACTTACAAGTGTCCTAAGATTACTGCCACCCAAATATTCCCTTTCTGGACGTACATGTGAACAAATTACCTGGAGATTGTTAACCAAAACGAAGAGCACTGTCAAACATGCACAGAGCCATTTCCAATATTCAAGTCACAATTTATTAATTCTGCATTTTTAATAACCGATATAGACTGCAACACAAGCTTGACAGCTCTTACCAAAATATAGAAACAAGCATGTCTCATAACTAATAAAAAGTTTAACAGCGATTGATGTATCCAATTTACATGAGAAGAGACGTCTAAAAGCTACAATGCTAATGCAGAGACAGCAACAGCACAGTGTTGTCTATTTGATTTCCCTATTTAATATACTGAGAGAGCCACTGAAAGCCCTCACCATATCCCATCTTGCGTACAATACTGCACATGAACACCTCCAAAGGACGGACACTGGAGTCAGTCAGATTCACCTTGCCCTTGCCTGTAGTAAAGTTAGTCAAACCCATATGATAACGTAACTCATCCTCTGAGGCAGCATAAGGCAAGTCGATCTTGTTTCCCAAGATAAGAAAAGGTGTATTTGCTAGTGAGTCATCAGAAAGAAGAGCATCCAGCTCCTTCTTTGATTCTGAAAATCTTTCCTTATCAAAAGCGTCAACTAGGTAGACTACAGCATCCACCTACATCATATAAAATTCAAAGTTAGCATAAGCAGACCATAGGAAACTGTCATTGTGCCAATTAGGCATCAAAGCAATTCCTAATACTCAGTTGACACTATACCTATAAAACTCTGATAATCTACTAAAGCAAAAGGGCAAGATGATTCAGATTATAAATTGTACACCATTTTGGCATGGTATTTACAAAACAGAAACTTCAAAAGCATGCTTTGAATTTGTTAATTCAAAAACTTTATTATAAGATGTAAATGTACATTCGCATCAAACCTACCATGACAAAACAAACAAAACTTAAAAGAAATTAAAAAAACCTGAGCGTAATAGTCCTTCCAGACCCTGCGAGCAATCTGGTGGCCACCCAAATCGAAGGCCTTGAATTTTATCTTCCCAATACTCAACTCCTCCGACGTTGGAAATTGAGTAGGTTGATGCTGAACTAATCTCTGCAAGATTTCAATTTCTTATCAAAAACTGCTTCAAAAAATTAAGAATCTTTGAGCAATCAGGAAAGTTAAAAAAGAAAAAAAAAAAAAGAAAAAGACCTCGTCTTTGAGCATGTGAAGCAAAGTGGTCTTCCCAGCATTATCTAACCCTAGGAATAAAATCTTCGCCTCCTTTTGCCACAGACCCAGTGATGCCAGAATTCCATAAAACCAATCAACAAGAAACATTCTTTTTTTTTTCTCTGAAAGTTTCAGAAGTGATGGGAAAAATAAACAACAAAATCTCCGCCGGCGACGTAGTTGCCGGAACTCCAACCGGTGAAGCGAATAGAGACAAGACAAATACACAGTATAACTGAGAAGAAGAATCAACAGAGAGACCAAGAACACGCAACACAAAAAGAACCTGTTTTCTTTTTTTCTTTTTTGCCTTCAGTTATTTTCGATCATTTTTTGGAATGTATATATAGTGTTGACGACTGAATACCGATTACCGGGGTGTCCAGTGAATGATACGCGGGTGGCTGACTAAAAAATGACCGAAAATGGTCCCGCGGGCAAAGTGAGGGAGACTGGAGTAGCCGGTTATCATGTTGAAATTCCACTTGTACGGATTTGGTTGGTTGGTACGCGTCATTGGGTAAAGTAGTTGACATTAGAAGAAACCAAAGATTTTTCTAAATTTTTTAGTTATAGAAAAGGAATTTTTTAAAAAAGATAGATATTTTAAGGGTTTGTTTTTTCTGATGTTACATTAGATAATTTTATCTAATGTTCATCAAAACGACGTCGTTTTGGGATGGAAATCATGGTATTTTTGTAATTTTAATTTATTTCAGGGTTATAATAGTCTTTATCACTCTAATTTTTTAACTTTTCAACCCCAAAACGACGTCGTTTTGATGAATATTAGATAAAGTTATCTAAAGTAACATCGGAAACTTTTTTTAAATAAGGGTTTCGTGTTTGTATTTTAAATTATATAAGTTATGTCATTTTAGAAGAGAGATAGACACAGAAAAATAAAAATCATGGAAGAGATAAAGTGGGTGGTTTTTTTTAATTTAAAATTTAAATAATTTTTTTCTGTGTCTGTCTCTCGACAGAGTGCTATGTCATTTAAAATGACAAACACTTTTCCCTTTAATTAAAATCATTATTATTAATTTAATATTTAAATTAAGAAAATTTCTTACTTCCTCTTATCATAATTTTTGTTTCTCATTTTAAAACTTAATTATTTAGACTAAAATAATATATAATTTTTTATTATTTAAAAGCAAAAACACTAATCTCTTTTAAAAAACCAAAACGTCAAAAATAAAAAAAATAAAAAAATATTTTTAGTAAATTAAAAAAAAAGTCTTACACGTACGTGGAAAGGTACTGTTATATCTGTACGAAAACAATCACTTTTGTGAAAGGCGTTTTTGAATTACTTCGAATTCGATAAAAAGGATATGTACCTTATCCGTAGGTAGGAGTTACCATACATATTGTAGCAATTAATTTCTCAGAGCCGTAATTGCATGCAAATTTATACAAAATAATCTTTATGTGATAGTAAACAGATTCAAAAGTAAATATAGTGATAAAAAAATTATAAATTTTACATTTGTAAAATGTTTATGTAACATTACCAATTGCTTAATAGTCTGACATGAGATTGTTGAACTTGTCTCGTTAGGCGAAGAAAAGCCTATTGTTTTGATTTCTCGTTGCTATCAATAATGGAAAATTGTATTAGATCTTTTATGTCAAATTTACATGACATTTATGATAATTGACATGTAAATTCTATGATAATTTTTTTATGTTGATAAATTTTGATTGAATTCATAGTTATTAGTATTTTACGGCATACGATTCGAATTGCACTATTGATATAATTCACAAATTCAGCAATACGTATCGATGGGTATAGCAGAAAAGTGTTGTATCGGATGATACGATTCTGTATCGGATATTGTTCTGGATAGCCCCAACTGGTTGCCCCATTAAGGCGACCACAATCTCCCTCCACTAGTCCACGTCATCTCTAGTGATCATAGCTTACCAACTCTCCCCCCTGTTCCCATGTGATAGATTCTTCAACGTAAGATACCAAAATATCCTAAGTTAGGATGCTACCTTCCTTTGGTAGCCCACCCAGACCACCTAAATAAATGTTTTCACTTCACAGCTACAGCAGTAGCGACTGCCACCAGTATAACAGGAACCGTAAAAGGGCTGTAGCAGCAATGGCAAGCGCCCTTGGCACTTCCCAATAGAGTTGACATGGCTCGCCCTCCCATGCGAGCAAGGCATCCCCTCCCCCTATAAATACCCCATCATTAGTAAGCAAGGGGATCCGATTTCTACGTGTTGTTACCCTACCCGACTTCATGAATCTCCACTGCAACTCATCGCACACACACATATCCCCCCCCCCCCCAACTTTTACTGTTGAATACCATATCTAAGACGTCATTGTCTAGCTTGGTCTCTACCTTTGCTGACAACGATAACCCTATAGTGACTTTTACCCTTCTCAAGGGTACATATTGGACTTGCAACTCTCAACAGTACAGATATGAAACTAAATCAAATTTTTTAATTTTTAATATAAAAAAATATAAATGTGATGTATGATTTAAATTCAGAAAAAAAATCTACAAAAATTATTATTATTAAGGAAAAGAAGACAAAGATTTGATTTGTAATTTAAATTCAAAAATCAATCTGAAAAATTTGTATTAATAAATAAAGGTAATAATTAAATAAATATATATTTTTTATGCATATTTTTATTTTTTAGGTCAAATCTTAAGGCCATCAAGAATGATAAAAGTAAAGGTATCATCGTACAAGAACAAGATAATGTCAACTGGCTTGACAAACGAAATTATATTGCCAACAAGAATGATAAGGGAAAAGAACCACACATTGTTGAACAATAAATAGGAGATGAGTCAAATGACTACACTAATGAAGATGATGGATTAATTATGTCACTGATAGTTGTTGATAGTAATAATAATGATAATATTAATCTTGATGATTGATGAGTAGGAGAATAATTGATTTTCACTTAATTACTTATTATTTTGCAGATTAGATCCTTTTTAAATTTTGAATTTATATAATATTAAGTATATTATTTATGGGGAAGGATATTGTAACAATCAATTTATGTTACTACAAAGTTACTACCAATCAATTTCACCGTTAGATTGATTATGTTGATCCAACGATTATATTTATTTTCATCTTTGTATGGTCATGATTTTCCAAATTTAATACTTTATATTTATTTTCACCTTTGTATGGTTATGATTTCTCATATTTAATGCTTTCACTTTAAATATGAGGAATCATAACCATACAAAGATAAAAATAAATATAACCGTTGGATCCACATAATCGATCTAACGGTGAGATTGATTGGTAATAACATGGTAGTTACACAACTTGGTTGTTACAATATCATTTTTTATATTTTTATAGCTTAATTGTACCCCATATATTTAATACTTGTAAGGGGAGATAGATATTTAATAACATTAAATTTGTATCCAAAAAAATTCATTATTATTATTTTTTAAATAAGTAATGATTCATTTAAAGTAATTTTCCTTATTTAATAATTAAATATATATTTTTCTTAAATCTGTAGTGAATTCAAATCACGGTAAATCAATAGTATATACGTCTACCAAAAAAAATAAAAAAAAATCAATAGTATATACACCATAACTCGTTCATTTTAGAGATGCAAGGTCAATTTTTTTTTTTTTTTGGACTCTACCAGCATTTGAACCTGGACCATTATGGCGTTGTCCTCAACAACTACCATGAAGGCTAGTAGATGCAAGGTCAAATTGTACAAACTTTTTACATTAAGAATCCTTTACCAGAAAAGAAAAGTAATTACTTCGATATCATTTTCAGTCTGAGCTATCAGGTGATTCGGATCATTCAATGATTTTTACATTAAAAATCCTTTACCACAAGAAAAGTAATTACTGCCACCCAGATATTCCCCTTCTGGACGTACATGTGAACAAATTACCTGGAGATTGTTAACCACAACGAAGAGAACTGTCAAATTATGAAGCACTTATACTTCAAAAATCCTGACGTGTCGTGTACGACACTTTGGAACACTCCGACACTCCAACACGCGTTATTGAAATTCAAAAAACGGTTCAAAGGTTAAATTGCGTTGAGTTTTTAGTTCCAACTGTTAGATTCGTTAGATTACGATTACCATTTTATTGAGTTTAATATTAATATTTAAAATATCTTATGTTTCTTTGCAAAATTTATGCATATTATAAGTTTAGATATATTTTTTTATTAAATTATTAAATATTAAAGATAAGATATACTACATAAATTAAATATATTATTTAATATCAAAACGTGTCCTAACGTGTCGAAATTTAACATTTTTTAGAATTAACGTGTCGGAATGTCGTGTCGGATCGTGTCACGTGTCACGTGTCCCGTGTCAGTGTCGGTGCTACATAGCTGTCAAACATGTAGCAGCCATTTCTAAAATTCAAGCTACAATTTATTAATTCTGCAATTTTAATAACCGATATAGACTGCAACACAAGCTTGAAACTCCTACCAAAAAATAGAAACAAGCACGTCTCACAACTAATAAACAAATTAAACTGCCATTGAAGTATCCAATTTATATAAGAAAAGAAGTCAAAAAGTTAGTATTCAAAAAAAAAAAAAAGTCTAAAAGCTAGAATGCTAGTGCTGAGACAGCAACAGCACGGTGTTGTCTATTTGATTTCCCTATTTAATGTACCGAGAGAGCCACTGAAAGCCTTCACCATATCCCATCTTGCGGACAATACTGCACATGAAGGTCTCCATAGGACGGATACCGGAATCAGCCAGGTTCACCTTGCCCTTGCCCTTGCCTGTAGTAAAGTCAGACAGACCCATATAATAACATAACTCATCCTCTGAGGCAGCATAAGGCAAGTCGATCTTGTTTCCCAAGATAAGGAAAGGTGTATTTGCTAGTGAGTCATCAGAAAGAAGAGCATCCAGCTCTGTCTTTGTTTCTGGAAATCTTTCCTTGTCAAAAGCGTCAACTAGGTAGACTACAGCATCCACCTACATCATATAAAATTCAAAGTTAGCATAAGCAGACCATAGGAAACTGTCATTGTGCCAATTAGGCATCAAAGCAATTCCTAATACTCAGTTGACACTATACCTATAAAACTTTGATGTAAATTGTTCGTGATTATAAATTGTACACATTTTGGCATGGTATTTACAAAACAGAAACTTCAAAAGCATCTTGAATTAACAATTCAAAAACTTTATTACAAGATGTAAACGTACATTGTCTGGCATCAAACTTAGCATGACAAAACAAACAAATAAAACTTAAAGTAGCTAAAACCATCCAAATGCCCTGTATTCAAAAACATGAAACTGAACAAATAATTAAAAGAAAAGAAAAATTAAAAAAACCGTTTCGTAATAGTCCTTCCAGACCCTGCGAGCAATCCGGTGACCACCCAAATCGAAGGCCTTGAATTTTATCCCCCCAATACTCAACTCCTCCGAAGTTGGAAATTGAGTAGGTTGATGCTGAGCTAATCTCTGCAAGATTTCAATTTCTCATCAAAAACTACTTCAAAAAATATTAATATAAATAAAATTAAGATTCTTTGAGCAATCATAAAAGTTAAAATATAAAAGAAAAAAAAAAAAACCTTGTCTTTGAGCATGTGAAGCAAAGTGGTCTTCCCAGCATTATCTAACCCTAGGAATAAAATCTTCGCCTCCTTTTGCCACAGACCCAGTGATGCCAGAATTCCATAAAACCAATCAACAAGAAACATTCTTCTTTTTCTTTTTTATCTCTGAAGGTTTAAGAAGTGACGGGAAAAATAAAGAATCAACAGAGACAAGACAAATACACAGTATAACTGAGAAGAAGAATCAACAGCAGAGAGACCAAGAATAGGCAACAAAAAAAGAACCTGTTTTCTTTTTTTTCTTCTTCTTTGCGTTCAGTTATTTTCGATCACTTTTTTTGGAATGTTATATAGCCGTTTGGATGGGTTTTTTTTTAACTAAAAATTGTGGGCAAAGTAAAGTGAGGGATTTGATTGGTTGGTACTTGGTACGCGTCATTGGGTTAAATTGTTGACATAGAAGAAATTAGGAATCTTAATCAACCAATCCAAACCGATTCAAACCGCGGTGACCGAACCGAAAATTCGATAATCGAAAATCAAAAATTGAAAAATTAAAAATCGAAAAAAAACTGCAAATTTTTATTGGATTGGATCGGTTGTTGGATGGATTGATGAAAACCAATCCAATCCAAACCGATCCAATATATTAATTCTTCTCTATCTACTTGGGTCTTTTTCCCAATCATAGCCCAAAAATTTATAAACTCAAGAGCCATTGGCTATCAACTAAACCCAAGAAAAAATCTAGCCACATCTCATCAACAAAATTTTATCTTTGTAGAGCCTTATATCTCATTGTCCAAAAAAAATTATATTATAGTTTACTTAAACTTTTGTATTTAAAAAATAATAATTTACAAAGCCAATATATACAAAAGATGTTATTTGCATAATAATTATGAAATAAATTTTAGGATTTTCAGAAAAACGAAAACCGATCCAATCCAAACCGAAAAAAATTGGATTGGATCGGATCGGATCGGATTTGAAAAAAAATCCAAAACGAATGGATGATTATATGATCAAACCGAAGGGATTGGATCGGATGATTTTTGCTTCCAAAACCGATCCAATCCAAACCGCGAACACCTAGAAGAAATCAAATATTTTTCACAATGTATCCACCAAAAAATAAAAGTATTTTTCTCAAATTGTTAGTTATAGAAAAGCAAAACGTAAAAAATAAGGAGGGAAATCAAAATCAAATCAATAATTTTCCCTTGATATTATTTTATAATTTTTAATTTGATCAAGGTTCTTGAATTGCAATACGTATTATATCATTTGATCGATTTTTTATATCGTATATCATGAATCATATCAAATCGTAAAATACAAAAATAAAATAAAAAATAATTTAATAATATATATTAAAATATTTATTTAATTTTTCCTTTATTAATGCTGATTTTTTAGATTGATTTTGATTTTAAATTACAAAGTAAATCTTTACTTTTTTTTCTTAATAATAATATTTTTTTAATTTTATTTGTTAATCAAATCATTATTTATTTTTTATATTATATATTATAAATTTTGATTTAATTTTCGTATCATATGATACCCGATATGTATCGTATCGTATGATATAGTATTATATCGTCAGATATGCATCCCTTTCCAATATACTCGACGATATGTATCGTTGAGTTTGTGAATCGTATCGTATATCGTACGATATTGATAATTGGATTTCATTTTAATCGAACGATAACAAGATTGATAATAATAAGTGGTAAGAAAAAAAATTGATAAGTATAACCTATGCCAAATAAAAAATGGAACGATTATCCTTACCACTATTTTAGGCTTACCACATATTTGTCTATCGTTGGATCAATTTGATATCAATGGCAGTTTTTTATTTTCTTTTTTAACCATTAATTTCAAATTGATCCAATAATAATCAATCAATTAATAATAATATTAAATCTAAAACAATGATAAGTATAATATTTCCATATTTGTAGCGATTAATTTCTCACGGCTAAAATTGCGTGCAAATTTAAACAAAATAATTTTTATATAATAGTAAACAGATTCAAAAGCAAATATAGTGATAAAAAATTGTACATTTTACATTTATAAAATGTCTATGTAACATTACCAATTACTTAATAGTTTGACATGAGATTGTTGAAGTTGTCTCGTTAGATGAAGAAGCGCCTATTGTTTTGATTTCCCATCGCTGTCAATAATGGAAAATTGTGTTATTAGATCTTTTATGTAAATTTTACATTACCTTTATGATAATTGACGCGAAATTTTTTTATTAATTTTTTTTATTCATAAATTTTGATTGAACCTCACATATTTAATACTTGTAAGGGGAGATAGATATTAAATACATTAAATTTGTATCCAAAAAAAAAAATTCATTATTATTATTTTTTAAAATAAGTAATGATTCATTTAAAGTATTTTTCCTTATTTAATAATTAAATATATATTTTTCTTAAATCTTTAGTGAATTGAAATCACCATGCACTTAAAATTAAATCAAACGGTATATACACCACTACTCCTTCATTTTAGAGATGCAAGGTCACTTTATATAAACTTTTTTCCATTAAAATGAGGTAGGATATACTTACAACCAAAAAAGTTCACCACCTTTACAACCAATCTAATTACCGTTGATTTCCGTCAATCTAACAGTTATCATTTATTGAAATTAATAATTAATTAATAAATACGACCCAATAATTTCTAATAAATGATAATCGTTAGATTGACGAAAATCAACGGTGATTAGGTTGGTTGTAAACTTTTTTTGGTGGTAAGTATATCCTTCCTCCATTAAAATATATTTATATTAAATCTTTAGTGAATTCAAATCACGGTACACTTGAAATTAAATCAATAGTATGTGGGAATAACATCTGTCATTTTAAAGGATATAAGCTTATATCATTTTAGATCCTAACTGTTGATTTCCGTCTATCAACGGTTATAATTTATTGGATCAAAATTATTAATTAATTAATAATAAATTTGGCCCATTAAGTTTGACCCAATAGATTATAACCGTTGATAGACGGAAATCAACGATTAGGATCTAAAATGATATAAGTTTATATCCTTTAAAATGATAGATGTTTTTCCCATAGTATATACACCATAACTCGTTCATTTTAGAGATGCAAGGTCAATTTATACAAACTTCTTACATTAAAAGTCCTTTACCAGAAAAGAAAAGTAACAACTTTGATATCATTTTCAGTCAGAGCTATCAGGTGATTCATTCGGATCATTCAAGGTCATGCACAAGACATTTCAGATAGATTCTATTTCTCTCTACTTTCATATTTGTCAAACGAAATTGGATCACTAGAAATAGTTCAGAGAAAACTCAGGTTCCAGTCAAAATCAAACAGGAAGAAAGTGGAATAAAATTTTCCAAATTTATTTGAGACTTTGTGTTTCTCTCCCCAGTCATACCACCCTACAACAGAATCCAGTATCTCAATGGAGAATATCCCCCACCCCGCAAAAAATATATCTAAAGATACAAAATGTGACACATAACATTACTGCAGTTGTATTCAATAATCCAATCAAAACCAAATCATCAAAAGCAAAAACAAAGATAAAACCTCTTCTGATGTAACTGCAGACACAGCTAGTTGACCGAGGAAAGGGGGAAAAAAATGATGCTGGACTCTACTTGATATATTGAGATACCCACTTGAAGCCATCACCATATCCCATCTTGCGGACAATGCTGCACATGAACACTTCAAGAGGCCGAAGGTTGGACTCTGTAAGATTGATCTTTCCCTTCCCTGTGGTGAAATTGGTCAGGCCTAGATGATATCTTAGCTCTTCTTCTGAAGCAGCATATGGAATGTCAATCTTGTTGCCTAGCACAAGAAATGGAACATTTGCCAGCGTTTCATCTGAGAGCAAAGCATCAAGCTCCTTCTTTGATTCTGCTAACCTCTCTTTGTCATAGGCATCAACCAGGTAAACTACCGCATCCACCTGGAAAGTCAAAGAATATGTGAATTCTAAAGCAATATCAAAAACTTCTAAGCAAGCATTGGAGCCATTTTGCAGATTAGGTATATGCTTACAGACAGCTAGTACACCAAATCCAGGGGAATAAATTGACCAAAAAAAAAAAATTGATAAAGAAACCACCAATCCTCAGGAAGTTATAGCTCACTGGAAAAAAAGGTCATGCCACTAAGGGCAGGAAAAAAAAATTAGTGAAAACGAATCTATACTTGAATTGGGAGTATTGACAGGTGATGATCTAAATACTACGTAATAACCATCAAACTAACTTCAAGCTAAACTTAATGAATAGCTCTCCTCCCTCAAGGTGAAATATCAATTTAGACCTTCTGCTTCTTCTAATACTTCAATAGGAAATCTAATAACTAGCTATTTTCAGAGATCTATGCATCCCTTTATTTGTTCCTACCACTCTTCTGCGTGATCTTTTCTTTATAATTCATTAGGAATAGGATACCTTAGGAAGATACTAGTAAAACACATCCTGCAAGGTTAAAAGAGCGCTGACAGCAAAACTTCCACTGTCAGTATTTGCCTCCCATGAATCAGATAAATACAAAGAGCCTTATCTGGGATTATGAAGGCATAACATGCTGAGTCAGTGGGCAAATATGAAAGTCAACCCAGTTGTAAGTTGGGTTACAATAGATATTAAACAAGAAGAATGGATTAGACAAAGCTGTACAAACAAAGCCAGAACCTAAGATAAATATGCTAGGAAATTTCGAAGGATTCCAAGAACAGCAACAATACATAAAAAAGATATCACAGGAAAAAAGGGCAGAGAACAAAACAACTCGTATGAAAAGCTAAGCTGGCGCTCCAAATAGGAAGTGATAAAATAATGAATAAGCCAAACAGACTTAAGAGAGGGATCATAACCAACAGTATCAAACAAAAGCAATTGGGATCTGAATGAAAGATTATCATGTCTCAAAGACCTTCTATTTCCATCTCATCCAACTAAAATCAAATCTGCGCCAGCTAACTAACCAAAAATATGCTTATTATTTAGCATTCAAGATTTGAAAAGAAATCAGAAATCGACCATATCCAACTGAAAGCCAATCTGCACTAAGGCACTAACAAAATAATGTATTAAGTATGCACTATCTATATCCTATTGCAGGAGAATTAAACGATAACCAAGTAAGCCCTATCATAAGGCACCCCCTAGGGTAAAAAACAAATCCCACTTTTTCAGAAACTAAAAATCATATTAATGGTGCATGCATATTATTGAAATTCATCATTGAAGAGGAAAAAAAAAAAGCAGAGTTTTACAACCGAAAGATCAAGACATTGAAGATAATAATGACCTTTGCATAATAGTCTTTCCAGACTCTGCGGGCAACTTGATGGCCGCCCAAATCAAAAGCCTTAAACTTGATCTTCCCAATGCTCAATTCCTCTGAAGTGGGGTGTTGGGTTGGCTGGTGCTGAACTAATCTCTGCAATCACAATAAAAAATAAATGAAAAATTCATATTTTTTTTCAACTATTCAAAACCACATATAAAAAAAAATGAAAAGATATTTCATGTTAAGAAGGGACACGAACCTCGTCTTTGAGCATGTGAAGGAGGGTGGTCTTTCCGGCATTATCGAGACCCAGGAAAAGAATTTTGGCTTCTTTTTGCCAAAGACCGAGGGAAGCTAGAATGCCATAGAACCAGTCAAAGAGGAACATGTTTTGATTTATTATTATTATGTATTCAGATCCAAACCAAAAGATGAAGGGAATTGCAGGGTGAGTTTGAATCTGGGGGGAGAAAGTCCCAGATCGCTGGTTGAGGAATGAGAAGGAACCTAGATCCCACCGAAGTCCTACACTGTCTTATTATCCAGCCATATAATTCACCCTTCCAACTTCCAACCACATGTGGTGGGAAATATGCACCTCATTTTTCTGCTTTTACCCCCAAACAGGACACTAACTAAGAATGGGGTCCCATTTCTCTAATCTAACGTTGTGAATTGTGATAAAGCAGTATATTTACGGAATTTCCAAAAAAAGAGAGAGAGTATATTTATGGCTACACTATTTTAATTTTTGTTATTTTAGTATTATCAAAAATATATAAATTTCACGATTAATTTTTTTCAAACATCAAAATAATTATATTTATATTTTTTCATATTAAAATTTTAGCTTATATTTACAAATTAATTTTTAAAAATGTGTATAAAATTTTATTTTTCCATTATTTAGTCTATTATATTTAATAGTTATTGTTAAATTTCTTTTTTCCCCAAACAGGACACTAACTAACGTTGTGATTGTGGCTGGCTGGCCTTGTCCCCCACAAAAAAAAGAAAATAGAAAAGTACATTTATGGCTAAACTTTTACAATTTTTGTTATTTAAGTTTTATCAAAAATATATATTGTAAAATTAATTTATCTGTTTGAGAAAAGTATAGAGAAATTTTTGTAAAAATAATAATAAGAATCCTCGTAGAATCTTATTCATATTTGAATAATCTTTTAATTCTTATCATGCTAAATTTAGCTATATTTATTTCAACAATTTCATATTCTTTATTTTTGGGTCTCTTCAGAATTCCCAGCATGTTGTGGGCCTAGCCTTCCTTCCCTCAGTCCACGTCACTCCCAATGCCTAAAGGGCATTATCGTCATTAAGTTGGCAAAGAGTCTTAGGGTTTCACCACACAAGGTCACATATATAAGAACCTATCTACTTCGTCTCTAACCTCTTGTTCCGCAGAAAACCCTAGCTCAAACGAATCTTCACTTTCCCTCTGCTTCAGGGTTCGCACATTTCAATTTATCGCACTTGTTCTTAATATCTTTTCCTTTTCATTGTTTAACTTTGTGCGCGTTGAATTGCAGAGATGGCGAAGTCGAAGAATCACACGGCTCACAACCAGTCCTACAAGGCCCACAAGAATGGCATCAAAAAGCCAAAGAAGCACCGCCACACTTCCACCAAAGGGGTATTTTGTTTTTATTTTTTTATATTTTGGGTTTCCTTTCTTTATTGATCTACATTCATTACTTTTCTTATTTTTCATTTATTTATTTTATGTAATTTTTTTAAATATTTTTGTTGTTGGCAATTCCTGTAGATGGATCCCAAGTTCCTGAGGAACCAGAGGTACGCGAGGAAGCATAACAAGAAGAACGGTGAAGCAGCCACTGAGGAAGAGTAAAGTGTCACTCTCAAATGGGGCTATTAGGATTTATCCTTAGATTTATTATTTAAGATCTATATGTTTTGTGCCAAATCTATCTTCTGTAGCGTAGTCATTTTTATTGGTTTTATTTGGATCCAGATGCAATACTCTTATAGAATTATTGCTGGTTTTTGTTAAAGGAACTTGAAATTTTGTCAGTGGAATATTTATTTGCTTTTGTTTTCAGATAACAGCTATAGTAATTTTCGTGTCAGAAAATCAACTATGCTGCTTTTGATTCTGAATGTGAGTTATGCTTATTTTTACTTCTTCGTGTCAATTTTGAGTTCTGTTCAATGATTACCATTCCATCATGCTTGTGGATTTAAATTTAACTGGGCAGAAGCAGAAGCTTGGATTTTGTATATGACATGCTGTACCCGGAGAGAACAGAGTGATGGGTTGGTAGGGAGATACCTCTCTTTTTTTATCAATTTCATTCTTAACTTTGTTTACTAGGTTGTGATAAAGCAAAGTGAAGAACAGTATCTTTCACATTGTCATGTGTATAAGGATTTAATTTTTCTCCTCCATTCTTTCACATTGTCATGTGTATTAGGATTTATTTTTTCTCCTCCATTCTTTATCAAAAAATTAAAATTAAAATTGCTCCACTAGAAGCTGATGAGCTCTCAGTGCTGATGTTTGTTTATTCTTTTTTATTTTTATTTTTATTTTGGTGGTTGGCAAGATCGTGCTTAGCTGCCGATCGTAGAATCATCTATCTTGTTTACAACGAGATTTTTATATATCATGTTGTGAGGCATTTATTTCATTTCATTTTGGCTCTTGAAGCAACGAAGCGTTTTGTGATGAATCACGGAGTAGTTATTTGCATTATTTTCTCTAGGATTGCGGTTGGCCAACTTTTGTTTATCTGAAGCCAAAAATTTGCTTCTCTTAAGATTAAGAAATGTACGATGTGGTGAATCACTTATACTCTTCTTTGTAAAGAAGAGTATACTTGGTTTAAGTTATAAGATTATTTTGTAACTATTTGTTGTGTCAAAAACATGGCGTGTATGAATTAAAAATACTGTTAATTTATCGTTAAAATACTATTTCAACCTGTTATTAATATGTATTTACGATTGTACTGTAAATGATTGAATCACATTAGAACCTTGATAGTGTTTAATCACGTTGATTGATTTATGCCGATTACATTCTTTTGGGGAGATTAAGAAAGTTTCTTGTTGAATTCGTAGCAAATAATGATAAGAAATGTTAGCACATGTGTTTTGCTATTGTTTAGTATTTATTATTTATTTGATGAAATTTTGAGTTTTAGTACTAGAAAGTGGGCTCAGCTTATTTAATAGGACGGAGAGATTTTATTCAGTAGTAATAAAATTTTAAAAAATAGTGCCAAATAATGTGAGCGTTTTTATTAAATGTTAGTATCCTGAAAAATCTTTAATCTTAATATAATAAGAAATTAAACGTTGCATAAAACAAATAAATGAGAAGCATTTATACTATTTAAAATTATAAACACTAAACGTGTACATTTAGTGCCTGTTTGGATTTTTTTTTTTTTTAAGCTAGAAGCTAATTATAAACATAAGTTAGGCCAAACAGGTTTTGAGAAAAGCTCTTATAACGAAAAGTTCTTTTTTTATAATAAAGAAAAAAGCTGAAAACTAAGCTCCTAGGAGGAGCTTTTTTTTAAGCTCTTATCTGTTTTTCTTGAATTGTGTGTTTTTTTTTTTTAAAATGAAGAGTGATAAAGATAGAGAGAGAGGGGTAATGTTTAAGCTAAAACTGTTATGTAATTTCCAAATAGCTTTTAGCTTTTTTTTTTAATTTTTTTTTTTTGATTTAGCTTATAAGTAGCTTCTAGTTTAAAATTAAGAGGATCTAAACAGGCTCTTAATAAACTCAAGGTGGGGCATATTTTATCTCTACATTTTTTTATAATAAAAGATGTTAAATACCGCTGAATTATTTTAGAAATTGTGTTCATGAGTAGAAAATTAGTTCTTCTGAACCCCATAGATGTTTTGAGCGTGATTGTTGCAGGTCTCAAACGTGAAATTTGAAAAACAAATAATGTCTATTCGCAACTTGTAAATAATGTGTGTAAATATCATTTCTCTTACATAGTTCAAGTGGTGTTGTGTTTCTGTGCACTTAATGTTTTCAACCTTTTCCTGTGACAGAAAGAGTAAAAGGGATACTAGTGTATGGTAAATGCAATTCTTTTCCCAAAACATAAGCTAAGTTCTTTGTTCAGAATTCATAACCATCTTTGAACAAATTAGGAACATGTGGGTGCTTCTTGTTTTCATCTTACCATACCAGTAAATAATTGATAGGCTGATACCACAGACACCCATGACCAAGGGAGCAGACGAAAGAACTCATCAAGTACAAATTTCAATCATTATGTAGTGTATCGAGTGTGTCAAATAGCTTAATTTCATCAACACCTTTATAGGAAATTGTTAAGAGTAAATATATATTGTATGCAAAACTAAGCACTCTGTGAAATAGGCCACTCTCAAAGGCCTTCCCGTTGACTATAATTATGAGAAGCAAACTAGTTTAAAAAATGCAATATTAATGAACATAAGCATCTTTGACAGGCATCAACTATACCAAGAAAAAAAGATAACAATACATGTAATATTCCGCGGCTATCCCTTCTCGGGCCATTAGTGATCTCCCTCAAACGATTCCCTTCTTTTACAGGATTCTGAATGTGCTCTCGTCTTCCGCCTGAAGATGCGTAAGAATTTGGAAGTCCCTAGTACAAGCAAATTTCTTCAAAAATTTATACTTCGGGAAGTTTAGACTGCAACTGGTTCACTTACTGGGCTAGAAGCCTGTGCTTTAACCTGCCTTAGTAATTGATGAGGGCGCGTATTAATGCACCGGTTACAATAAACTAGCTGTGCAAGTGTGTTGTAAATGCAAATCTGAATGTGTATGTTCTATGTTTCAATTCTTTTCTCCATGTTAATACACCCCCCACCACCACCCAAAATAAATAAATAAATCAAATCAGCTGTTTGAAGTTTAAATTATAAGAAAAATTAATCCGTCAATGCCGATATTCTCATTTTCTTACCATTTAGATAAAGAATAAGGTTTAGACGCAATATGATGTTGAAAGTAAATCGAGAATAGCTCACCTTTGCTGATTTAAATAGCTCATCAAGAACCTCAGACAAAGTTGGATGTGCATGGACTGCAAATTTTATGTCCTGCATTGTACCACAAAACAGTGAAATTTACCAAATAGACAGGATAAGAAATAGTTAAAGACATTTTGACCATCAATAGCTAAAAGCCAGGCGCACATAAATGACAGCATTGGTTGAAAAGTTTACCTGAATACGTGTCCCTAGTGCTATTGCATTGGATGCTTCATGGATGAGATCTGCTGCATGCAAACCAAAAATATGAACTCCTAGTATTTCTCCATTGTCAGGTCTGTATATCAACTGCATGAAAACATAAATGACAGTTAGCTATGTGAAACAGAGAAATAAATGCATCCAGAGAAAAAGGATAAGAGCATAGAATAAGTATCACGACCAAATAATTTCGGAACCATCGAAGTAATTATTTAGTTTAGAACTCATCAGAAGCATCAAACACTTCAATAAGCTTCTGTACGGGAATAGCAATAAAGGAGGAAGACACAAAAATATAACCTTGGCAAGTCCTTCCCCTTCATTTTCAGCAAGGGCCTTCGTGTTAGCTTTAAAACTTGTTTTGGAAACACTTACTTCAAACCCCTCTTTTTCACCTTTCTCCCTTGCCTGAGGCTGTAAATTTTATGTTTGGTCATAACACGTAAGAACCTCAACTCAAGGACATCAAGCAGTAATTTTATTGTATAAATATAAATAATATAAGGGGAAAAGTTCATTAAAACATTTATTGTAGTAAATGACACATCAGACAAAAGTAAGTTCTTATATACCTCTGTCAATCCAACCATGCTAATTTCAGGATGAGTGAAGCAAGCAGCTGGGATACTTAAATGATTGAGCACATGATCTCTTCCAGTTACTTGTTCAACCACTGTCAGGGAAACTTTTAGTCAAGTGAAATTGAAGGAAAAAAAACTAAAATTAGTAGAAAAATTACATTAGTTTCCACTTACCTGAAATTCCTTGTGCACTGGCAGCATGAGCAAGCATCATCTTGCCATTTGCATCGCCAATACAGTATAAATGAGGTACCTGTCATTCCACATCCTATGTCAGTAACAAGTCAGAGAAAGACGATTAGTGCATGAGAAAATGAGACAAACCAGCTTGCCATTTGCATCAATTACTCGCATGCGCTCATCCACAGGAACAAAACCACGCTGTGTTACCACATCAATCTGTAGAAACAACATACAAAAATATACAATCATTTCCTTCAGGGAAAACTTCCTATCCTAATCACATTTCTGTTAGAAATGCATACATTCTCCAATCCAAGACCTTGCGTGAATGGAGCCCTTCCAGTTGCAATTAGTGCTGCATCAACCTGTAGCAAAGCAAAGAACAGCTTGTAATAAATCCAAATTAATTAAATATACAGGTTAATAAAAAAGGTGATATTTTCTAATACCGTGTCAAAATTATACGGTTTAAGGTAGGGAAAGAGAAAATCACGAGTCAATAATTTAGACTAATTTGATGTGTTATAATGTGAAACAAAATGCAAAACACTAAAACCTATTTATACTAAGAGGGAGGATATTTTGATTACCAAAAATGTGTACTACCACCTTACTACCTATCAAATCACCATTGGATCAAAGAGAGAGAATGTTAAAAGGTTTTTGAAGAGAGAGAAAATGTTAATCCAATGGTGATTAGATAGGTAGTAAGGTGGTAGTGGAAACTTTTGGTAGTCAAAATATCCTCCCTCTTATACTAATACTAAACTCCTAATACTAATTAAATAAGGAAATAAACTATTAAATATAATTAAATATGACAACTACAGATTGCCAAAAAATATATATATATGACAACTACTCCTCAGAGATCATTAAGATACTATAAAATATTCTAAAATACAACAATGATATTTTGAAATATTTTCCAGATATTCTAACAACAATAAAAAAAATTCTCCTTTTTTCCCATTGGAGAAAAATTAAAAATTAAGAACAAAAAGATAAACTTCAAAGATTTCAAGAAAAGATTAAGTTACCTCCAAAGTTTCCTTTGGTTCCTTGGTTTTTGCATCAATAAGCTCGATCAAGACAGGTTTTCCATCCCTTGCAGGCGTGATCTATACAGAAAATATCAGGACTGTGGCATGATAAAGTAGCCAATCAACAATTAAATCAAGCAAATACAAGATGTAGTTACCTTGGTTGCAAAAACTCCAGTATGATAGTCAATGTTCCGGGGGTTTATAAGAACCCTTTGAGCCAACTTGCTAATTTCAGGATCAAATCCAGGCATAAGCTGATCTAAAGCTTCAACAAAAGTAACCTACAGAATACCAATTATTACTTATATCCCTTCTGTGATAAATTAGGGTTGTACATTTTTCAACTAAAGAAATAACATAAAGATTACATATTTGTTAGCTTGCTGGTACTAATAAAAAGTATAAAAAGTGTGATAAGATTTTACAGCAGACACATAGATTTCTGATATCTAAAGATAACAATAAACTATTTGTAAATATTTATTATGAACAAAAGGAAACGGAAATAGAAAGGAAAAGTATCACAAAGATGTGCTACCTCACTTCCGAGTGCTGTATATACATCACTGAATTCAAGGCCAATATAACCACTTCCAACAATTGCTATCCAATCAGGAACAGACTCTAGTTTGAGTGCATGATCACTGGTAATCACAGTCTTCCCTGAAGATGATTGATTAGTTGGACAACGTTCATTAAAAAGTAATTATGCTAATAAATCTTGGAAGAAACCGGAAGATGAGAAAAAAAGGATACAGGTTTTGAATTTATACACAAGAGCATCAAACTTGACTCATAAATTAGAAAGAAGAACTCCTCATAACATAAATATAGGACCAAACAAAAAATTTAAATTTTTGAAGGGAACGAAAGATGAATTATATATAATCTTTCAAAAAGAAAGGACAAATTAGTATATCGGGGATTTTTCTGAAATTTTCAGTTGCTGAAGAGATAATGACTGTTTTAGTCTACATGACATCCTCAAACACATGGACCGCAAAAATAAAGATAGCCCTAACCCTTCCTCTAAAGATTGAGGACAGATAATAGGACCGTATGAATGACTAAATTGACATTTCAGACTGTATCCCAAGGTCTGTTCTATACTGAACAAAGATCCCTTTATGCACATTTCAATGAAGTCCAATACATAATATATTAAGCTTATTTGTGTTATTTTTAATTTATGAATATAATGATAAATATGTTATTCAGGATTTTGATATCTTTTCTTATCTTCAGAGATTGTATTTGTTTTAAGAAAATTTATACTCTTGGATTGTCCTACATCACTATTAACCGACACATTATTAACCAAAAAACATCTCCAAAGCAAAATTCATGATTTCTTTTTCCATTGATGCTCAGTAACTGATAGCAGTCTAGCTTCTTGTACAAATCATCTCGGTTTCTTGTAGCAGGAAGATAAGCCTAAGTCCGCTGAATTAAGTAAAACTAGAATGAGGAACATCAAATATTAATGTCATGAAACAATATGTACCATCAATTTCAATGCCCTTAGGAACGAAAGGAACAGAACCAGTGGCAATGATGATATCTTTTGCAGTTACTATGCTGTTGGAAGAGCCAACTCTGGCCTTTTGAGGACCCTGCACGGATTCATAAACAGGGCAGCAAAGGAAAATGTCAAAAATTTCTTTTGCAGTTTTAAGATAGCCTTGGCTAATAAACAAATGCTTCAACTCCATAAGAGTGAGTTAGGAATTTCAAAAAATGGGATTTGATTTGAAATGTTAAAAAATAGGAAAGGATTCTTAATATTAAGCTCTGCGGATTGAGTTAATTTGAAATTTGACTTAAAAATGGGAAATGATTTTTAATACTATGCTCTGCAGATTCTATAAGTGGTCACACTAACATTTATTTCTGATTCCATAGAATCCACAGAGCAAAATATTAATTTGTCCCTTACCAAAATAGTTCCATATCCAGTAAGTATGTCCACTCCAAGCGCTTTCATTGAGTTGGTCAAATTACTACGGATTTTTGAAGCAAGATTATTAGCATGATCAGCGACTCCTTGTCTGTCATACCCAGCAGCAGAAACCTAAAACAAGCAAAACAAACGAAAGCAATATAATCATGTAACCGCCAATTTCTTCACACCTTTACCATGTAATAACAGTCTAATCCATTACAACAATTGCCATGGGTTCCAAACTTAACAAAGCCTGATACATAACATTCTTACCTGCAAGCCCAAGGACTTCAAGTGATGATCGCTCTTTAATTCTCGCATACGACCACTTACAGCCAAAAGTGCTTTCGAAGGAACACAGCCTCTGTTTACGCATGTCCCTCCCACCACGTCTCCTTCAACAATGGCAGTTTTTAAACCCTGCAGTCACTCTGTTATTGAAATATCTCACACAAATACGATATTTAGATTACTTTATCCCACAATCAGAATTCAGAAACGCGACTTTCTTGATTTATTATATACAGAATAATTTCCATATCAAGTGTCCTATTCACATTGCCTTATCGAACTTAATAGTTTAGTCACAAATTCGACTATCAAAGTATGAATCTCGTAATAACAATTCGACATAAAAAAAAATTAGTTAAAAAGTACCTTCTCGACAGCATGAAGCGCAGCACCATGGCCACCAACACCAGCGCCGATAATCAGTAAATCGTAATCGAAGGATTTGGGAGGAGTGCCATTATCGGAGAGCGCAGCTGAAACTGTGTTGAAGTGTGAGCGGCGAGGAAGCTGCAGGTGATGGCGATTGAGAGAAGTGGTAAAACCTAAACCTAATGCCTCGCGCCTCAAACCGCAGAAGCGGAGATTGAGAGGCTTGCCGGCGGATGTGACCGGAAAAGAGTGGTGTGATCTGGAAACGGTGGCGGCTGAGGAGGTAGCAGAGAACGAGAGTGAGAGTGAAGACTGCATTTTCGAGGAAGAGAAAGATTAGAGATGAAAGATGAAGATGTGAATACAGAGAGATCTGAGAAATGAAGTTATAAGAGTTGGAAGGACCTCGAGGAGTCCGTTGGAAATTAGAAGGAAAATGAAGAAGAGGGGCAGAGGACGGAGAAATCAAAGAGTGGCGGATAAACTAATTTTGTTTGCTTTGCTCTCTGCATAATCAATGAAGTTTTCTAAAGTGAAATTATTTATAAAGTATTATAAATAAAAATATATTTACTTTTAAATTTTAATTAGTTAAGATTATCTGTATTTTAAATTAAATAAAAGGTAAATGTGTTCTTAGTTTTCTAATATCTTATTTATTAATGACTTGCATTGCTTTGTCTACTTTGGAGATATACATCTTATAGGTTTTATTTGAATGATTATTGAAAAATATAATATAATTAAAAATTGTCATATAATTATTTGTATATTTTATGATATCACGATCATTATTTTAAAACTAAATGAAATGGCATATAAAAAATTAATTCTATGCATAAACTTTAAATTGGAATACAAAAATAGAAGAATTAAATATGAAAGACTATATTTTATTCTGTTTTATCTTAATAAATAATAACAAATCAATGTTTAATTAATGCAATCGTAAATTTCGTCTTTGTATGTATGCATGCATGCTCGGTTTGTCCCAAGTCACGGTAAAAAAAATGAGCATTTGTATTAAATGTAGCCAGACAGCCGTTAAAGAAAATAATTATTTATATGAGATGAACCATCATTATTATTTTTTTTAACACATCGATTTAAACTCTGATAAAGTTTTTGCCACAAGTCTAGGCGTTGCATTGGATTCCGGGTATAGCAACAAATGAAGTAGGATCTTTGCCAGAAGTCTAGGCGTTGTATTGGATCCCGAGTATAGCATAGCAACAAATGAAGTAGGATCTTTGCCACAAGGTAAAGTGTGGTATCTTTATCCAAATTTGGTGACAAGTATGTCTAGGTCCAAAAACACATGTGAACGAGCATAGTGGGCAAAAAAAATTGGACAAATAGCCTCGAGACTTAAAATGGGTGAATTAAGTTTTAAAATCTTTTACAGAATGCATCACTTTATTTGTAAAATCAATTTCTCAAGATACTATAAAGATTCATGGTAAGCTAAAAGGTAACTGATAACGACTTAGATAAGCAAAAATATATCAACAAATTATAAGTAGTATGTTAAGAATGTTTATATGAGAAGATAAACATTGGGGAGAACAAACCATTACAACCTCTAAATTATTGTTCATAACTTATCTTAATTTCGTCATAACCACCATGACCTACGCTCAATTAGTATTAACTACAATGATTGTTCCATTAGTAATCAAATTCCAGTGGTGTTTGAACAAACCACTATAGCGTCTAATATTATTGTTCTTGGACAGTAACGATGACAATATGAGTTGAGCCCGGCGGGCCAACCCGCCAAAACGGGGCGGGTTGGCTTGAGGTTTTCAACCCACCAACCCACCTCAACTCGCCCCGCTTAGGAGTGGGTCAAAACAAGTTCAACCCGCCGAGTTATAATTTTTAATTTTTTTTTTTTACAATTAAGTAGTATTTCATTAGTCCTTAAATTTTTGTGATATCCAATTTTTTTTTTATCTTAGTACTTCTTAGAAAAAATAAAGAATAAAAATTTTATTTATGACAAATGTTATCTATATATAATTTTCTAAAGAATGTTTGACAAATATTAGTATACATTTAAGATCGAGACTAAAAAAATATAGAGAAATATGAAATAATATTAGAAAAATTCATAAAATATAATTTATTTTTAAATTTAAATTAATTTTTTTAATTGGCTGGTTAGTGGGTTGACTCGCCAACTCGCCAACCCACCATAAAACGGGGTGAGTTCGCTTTTCCAACCCATATTTTTTGGCGGGTCAACCCACCCCATCCCGTTTTTTGGCAAGTTGGTGGCAGGATAGGTCGGGGCTGGTCAACCCAAATTGACACCCCTATTGAACACCTTATACTTTCACCTAAATTTATAATATAATGAGCTAGCTATCCAACATTTAATGTCTCACTGTTCTTTCAACTCAATTATACAATAAGAAAATGTTTAAAAGTGACTAAGTACTCTCAAATTACATATTATACAAATTGAATATCCATAGATATTGATAATGTCACAAGAATAAAACTTCAAAGTATATGGATGACTGAAGGTGGGGACGAGCAATAAACACGTTCGGTTTAAGAAGAACAACCAATAATGACTTTATAATCAACGAAACAATGATTAAGAGTGCTTTAAGGCGTAATAAAGGAAATCGTATAAGTTTTTTTTTTTTTTTTTTTTTGATAACATCGTATAAGTTTTTAACAAATTATAGGCTTTACTGGTAGTCAAAATGCTTACTAGCAAGTAACAAGTAAGTATTCAACTAGCATTTGTGGAATATTTGAATACCTTCTTATGGAAATTAAATATTGATTATTAATTGAAAAATAATCGAATATTTTTTTGCTGGAAATGAAGTATTTGATTATTTGTACGAAAATATAAGATATTTTTTTACTCTAATAGAGTAATCGACTATCTACAAAGAAAGTATTTGAATACTTTATTGACAGAAGCCAATTATGCAACAAATTTAGCTTTAAAATCATTCTGACTTGCTTCCAACCATTTTAAATGAAAGATCTTAACTTGAGAGTAATATTTTTAAGTTAAAAAGCAAGATATTTTCCATGAGTTTTATAATTTTTTTCAAGTATTTAAAGTTATAGATTATGCAAGTATAAAAACGAAGGTTACTTTAAGTTTATTCATGCAATTTCGATCAATTACCTTTATATTTGAATCAAAGTCCTATAAATATACTATTTGTAGGTCCTTGGACTTGAGTTTTTTTCCTAAAGCTTGATCTTGATCCTTTATCACAATTTTTACTTGGTTACATGTCTTGGTGGACCATGCATGTATTGACATTTTGAATTGTCAGCCTTAGACTTTTTTTTTATTGTTGCAAGTTATACCATTTTTTTAAGTCCATTTATTTTTTATCATTAAAACTTTTGCATCTTTGTATTATTCAATTTAAATGCTTTAGTTTCACGAGAAATGCCCAGGGACCAAAGATGCAAATGAAAAATTGTAACACAAGAACCTTAACAAATAAGTTAAGGAAGTTAGCATATATTTTTTCTAAAATGAAAGTTGTTATGGACCACTTAGGTGGTTCCTATTTCCTATCCCCATTACATAGAGCATCTCATTTCACCGCTCTCCCATAACTTTTATCCACTACTAATAACCACTCATTAAGCATTGCATCACACCATTAAGTCACCTGCAAACTACCCATTAGGAGCACAATCTCCTAATGCATTTCATCTATATATAACCCCTTATAGCTAACAAAGGGAAATCTTCTAAGAACTCGTGTGATAACCTATTTGAGTATTCACTATACTTGTCACAATGGCTATAACCTACACTTCGTTCTCATAGCACATCCTATTCACCGCAGGTGACTCACACACACACATTGTTCATACCATCGAACTTTGGCCTAAGATGCAAGACTTTTCATTGTCTGTCATATTTATCATAAGTTTCGTAGATACAAATATTAGCTACCCTGCTAGACATTAATATTCATTTCCCGAACAAAAGTAAATATTATTTGCTTGCAATAGATCGAGCGGGTTGAAGAAAAAACTAAAAAATTGGAAGGTATTAGATTGAAGTCTTGGTACACAGGTGTAAAAAAGAGCACAAATAAAGTTGAGATTATGACCAATAAACGTTTCAGACACAAAGTTGTTAACGTTTGAAGAATATGCAACAAGATTATCCTAGTTTAGTTTGTAATGAGTGATTTAATTTTAAATATTCTTAGCGTACATGCCCCGAGTTGGATTGCAATTAACCAATATGAATCAATTTTAGGATGATTTGAAAGATATTTTAAGGGGGATATACACGAAGAGATGATTTTTATAAGAAATTTAAATGGATATATTGGTAAAAATAATTAAGGTTTTGACCGAGTTCACTTAGCCTATTAATAAGACAACTCTTGTTGTCCCACTCAACGAGATTTTTACATGTGACAACTTGGCTCCCCTAGTGAAGTAGGCTAATATGAAAAAGCAACGTATGAGTATATAAAGGTGGCAAAATGAGCAATCAACCTCGCCAACCCGACTGTATATTGAAAAAGTAATTTTTTTGAAAACTTATACTGCATGAAGAAGTAAAGGGTATAAAATGAAAAGCAAAGAGATATAAAAAAATCAATGACTAATGTTTATTAAAAAATAAAAAATAAAAAAATTTGATGGGTCGACCCCGTCTCGCGATGGGTTCAATCCGTTTTAACCCATATTTATATGAAGCACGGTAAAATAGGTGTGGATTAAACGGGTTAACCTCTAAACCTGTTTTACCACTTATTGAAGTATAAACCATCCTTTAAGCCCACGCCACTTAATCAAAAGCTATATTCTCATTTAGCAAGTATCATTGAATACCAAATGTGTAACATTTGGGTTTTTAAAGCTTTTGGGGATGGTGCACGTGGTCGTGAAACAGCTAATAGACAAAGAATATTGTCATAGATCCACCAGAGGAGAAATAGCGCATTGCTGCACGGGGAAGTCGACTCAAAGCTAAGTTGCAGAGAAAGAGTGACTTATTGTTGTTGTGTTCACCGAAGGATTTTGATTGCTGTCGGTGTAAACAAAATTTCTGTTGTTGTAGTTCTTACGATCACACTCGGTGGAGGACATGGATCATTGGAGGATTTAGGGATACAAAGTGTCCTGACAATTCATGAGATAGAATCTTGTGAATAGATATATAAAATCATTAATATAGTCTCATATTTTGGACTGAATTGACGCTTTACATAATATCAGAGTCTCGTGTCTCGGGTTCAATCATTGTTGCCCTTTACTTTTTCTCGTAAAATTTATTAAATGAGCCTGCGCATTGTCTACCATTTAAGTGAGCTTTCGTGTAAAAAGGTGAAAACTATTTTAACTAAAAACTTAGGTGAGAGCCTCTCACAAGAGAACTTATCGGGCTTGAAAGGTAGATGATACATCAAGTACTAAAAAATTTAACAAAAAAATTGGAGAGCGACGATTAACGAACCCGAGACAACTTGACTTTGATACAAATTATTTCAACGAATAAACTTAAGTTAACGAGTGAGACTATATTAATAGTTTTATATATCTCTTAACAAATATCACTTTATTTATTATTAATTTTTTTTAGTACAAAGAATGTCTCATTCTTTTTTTTTTTTTTGGTGAACTAGAATGTCTCATTCTTACTATCTCACATTTGTGTTTATAGTTCTTCTTATTATACCTTTCCATTAAAATTCGAATCAGCAACCATGGAAGAGAGGAGAGGGATTTGTCATAGTATCGTAGCACTAGTTGATTCTGATTTATACTTCACAATTAATTTTTCGCTAAATAATTATCTTTTCATGTACCATTTTGTACGGTTAAACTTCCATAATAACCTATAAGCAGGTTACAAGTGTGCAATCCCAATTTTTCATCAAGTTCTAAGCTTGTTTTTTTAAGTTTGTTTTCTTCAAAATAAATATACTTTTTAATATAAACAATTTTTAATTATTTTTTGAATTAAATAAGTTTTTTAAATATAGTAAAAACATAAAAAGTAATTTTTTTTTTTAGAAAAAGCCATCATAATATATTTTCCTTAGATATATCTAAAAGCACACTTATACTTCACAGCTAGATTTTTTTTTTGTGCAGCGGGATTATCTTAAAATGAACACATTTTAAATGCAATGGGAGTAGGTATTTTTTTATTAAAAAAAAATATGAAAGTAAATATTTATAAAAATAAGAATAATAAAAATATATTATTTTTTCCATATTTTATAAAAGATATAGTGAGTGGTGAATATATTTTGCTTAAAAGAGACTGAAATAGTGAAAAAGAAGCGCGCAATGTGTTAATACTATTTAACTTCGTATGTACTATATTACTATTTACTCGGTCCCTTTGATTAAAATGTGAAATAAAATGTTATCAAAAAAAATAAAAAAAAATAAAAAAATTTTGTCATTTTAAATGACATAAAGTTATATTATTTTAAGAGAGTACAAACACAGAAAATTTAAATTTTAAATTAAAAAAACCACTCACTTTTTCTCTCCCATAATTTTTATTTTTCTGTGTCTATCTCTCTCTTAAAATGACATAATTTATGTCATTTAAAATGACAAACATCAAACCCATAAAAAAATGCGTGAAATTGTTATCAAAAAATAAAATAAAATGTGTGAAATAAAGAAGCGCGAAATCTCGTATATATCCGCGCGGGCACTGATGATAATGGTCTATTCGTAGTTTTAGCAGAACCCCGGGGGTATTAATGTGATTCCATACTATTAATACAATGTGTTAATTTTCTCTGTTTGCTAATTTTTGGGGACAGTCCTGCACAGAGAGAAAGAATATTGAAAAGGGGGAGAGAGGAGAGAGAAGAGAGGAGAGAGAGAGGGAGAGGAGAAAGTTCCCGTTGCTACGTCGATGACGGTTAGGGTTTCCTGTTGATCCGACCAAACTTAATTCCTTTTACTGTAATTGTTTTCCTTCTCATTCTCCTTCTCCTCAAAACCCTAATTTGAAGGCCCCCCGAGATTGAGTATGCTGTTTTTGCTTTGAATTTTGAGGAGCTGTGATGGGAGCGCCAGAGAAGTCACAGGCTAATACTAATTCGATGCAGGCAAGTACTCTATTGTAATTGAAAGCGTTCAGCTTTGTCCTAGAATCTATTCAATGCAGATTTTTGCTATTCGATGTTGTTTGGAGTTCGAGCTTCGATTTAATTTATTGGAGGCTTTTGATATAACTTGTTAACTTCGTTAATTCGTTTGGACTGGTTTTATTTAGCTATCACTCGGGTCCCCTTATTTTTCATGTGTGGGTTTCTGAAATAACTTGTTTCGGCATTTTCTATGTTTTATGCAATCTATTTTTTCCAGTGACGGACCCATAAATTTCGGTTAGTGGAGGCAAACCCTTTTATTCTATCTGCCGGGAAACTTTTATGTACCTTGAAGTTGCGATATCAATTGCGCTTTCATGGCAGGTGGTCTTAATGCGACTGCCATTTTTCTGTCTGGTGTGCATGGGAGCTAGTTCGTCTCATAAGAATTCGACCTCTTGGTCATCTAGGATTGGTTATGCCCTGAAATATGACTCTATGCTTTCTGCTTGTGGAGACTTGGGGTTGTTGATCACCAATTAAATCATCCAAGCAAGTAGGAGATCAATGAACAATTTAACATTATGTTGGGAATTTAATGAAGTCTGAGAGTAATGAATGAATTTGCTGTGATTTGTTAAAATTAGAATTTACCCAATCAATCATATACTGGGAGCAAACCTTCTTAGACTTTGTGGGAACAAAAATGGTAAGTCACATGTATTGTATTTCTCCTCCCCTCTTGCCAGTGGGGGAACACAACCAGCAATGAGGGTACGCCCCTGATTTCTTGATTGGTATCTTTAAAAGCTGTAGGTTGGTGCACTTGTTTGAATGCATATTTTATATTGTATGTACACCCTAGATATATGATTCTTGTTGTAATAATTGGATTTAATTTAATAGAAATTTCCCCCTGAAATTTTTAGGAAATTAGAAATTGAATTGAATGGTTAGAATTCAGTTGTTACCTTCAGACCTTCTCATCCACTTGGAGGTTATCGGGGATTGATTTCGTGCTCATTTGCATTGGAGTGATTAGACAAGGATCTAGTAGCACAGATCTGTTTGAGCCAGAAATGAATTTCTTAATGCCATGTGTTAGGATTTCTGCTGCATTTTGGTTGGATGATATTCTATATTTTTTCTTTTTTGAAATTTTTATGTATTAATGTTAATATGTGGGGTGTAGAAATTGGAAAGTTGCTGTTATTTCACTGGGCAGTGCCATAGTTATAGACTATGGTCCATTTATAGTCTTCTCATGTTGTAAGGCTTGGTGGTCACTAAATTTACCCAGAATTTTCTTTTTCTAGTGAGTATTACCCACCTTTCTCCCTTTTTCCTTTCAATTATATTAAGCCTTACTTATAAGAACCAAATATGTCTAATTTATTTACTCTCCATAACTTTGGCTTTTTTCCTGTATGCAGCTTGTTGTACTGCATTTGCCACCACTTTCTTTCTTTGCTGCATTCAAATTGTACTTCTTGCCTGTAATAATGTTTAATGACATGAATAGTAAACTAGTAAAACGAATATATACCTCATTAGTCTTAGCATCTGTTGATAGCACATTCTCAATTTTGTCAATCTTTTCCCTAGTCATCAGTAAAATCCTACTTAAATTAAAAATAAATTCCATTTTATATCCAGTTTTTTTTTATAGTTTCTGGTGTTTAACTGGATTCTTGTTTAGTTGTTCATATCTCCTTAAATGTTTTCATGTAAACTACTACTACTCATTTCTCTTTTCTGTAATGGCCAGTAATTAGCTTTTTTGAGCGTACTAATCAACAATCAAAATTTTCCAAGTTGCATACTAATAAAGTAGCTTTTGCAGTAAAAGTGCAGTAATATTATTTATCTTTTTAGTGCTTAGATTTTGGTTTTTAGCATCACATCCTTACACGTGAAGGAAGATGTTATGCTATCTGGTGTTGATATTCTTTTTGAGACAGGTTCAGACTCTGGTTGCATTTCTATAATTTATGTTTCTTGGCTTTCCAATTTCCTCTGACTCCTGGGGTTAACTTCTAAAATATTTCCAATTTTTTCCAATTAGCTGTTTTCAGCTTAATTTTAAAAGATACTTTTGAATTTTTTGGAGAGAAATTATCACAAACAATGTTTTTTTTTTGCTTAATTAGGAAGCCAATAACTATGGGTGACAATTCGGGTCGACACGACACGACACAACTTGAATTCAACATGAAAACAAATACATTCAACACGAAAATGACACGAATTTGAAATTAGGTTAAAACCTTCGACACGAACATGACCCACTTATTTTGCAGGTTGACATGGCATAACACGAATAACTCGCAATCTCAAAGTGTGTTGCTTATAAGTTATTATGTTGGTTGACATGACATGACACGAATAACCTGTCAACCTCAAAGTGTGTTGCTTATTATACGAGTTGACATGACACTATAAGTCACGAATAACTTGTAAGAAGATTAAAGCAAGTCAATTTTGGGTTCGCAGGTTAATACGCGATACGACACAAATTTTTCCGTGTTAGCTTTTGCCAAACGAACACAACACGAATTTGAAAACGGGTTGACTTGAACACAATTTTTTTGCCTTGTGGTTCTTGTTGTGCGAGCGGGTCGTGTTGAAAATTGCCATCCCTACGAATAACATTATTCCACTTGGTCTTTAGAACTAAAAGCCAAGGGAATGGAATGATTTTGTGTTTGGGATACATGATAATGATAGTCCTGATTTCCTGTCCTTTTCATTTATTAATTACTATCATCCTGGAAAGAAACTTCTGTTTATTTACCTTGTAATTCCTGTTTATATTTCATTTCTGCCATTTTGTTCTTCTGATTTTGCTCCTACCAATCATAATGCAAGAGAAATAGGAAGTTGGGTCATTCTTATTTCTGTTGGCTCATAGAAGCCACTTTTTGTTTTGATCTTTTTTGTAGCTGGTAGTTGTTTTACATTCCTTCAACCTGCCACTCTGAATTGTTTTTGAAGAAAAAAGAAAAAAGATGGCTGAGTTAATGTATTATTCTTTAGATTTCAGTGATTCAATCACAGGAATAATAACTATTTTTAATATAGGCAGCAGTTGGGCTGCTTAGTATCAGTGGATTTAGTTTATTATTTATTTTTTACTTATATTATAATACAATTTATGGGTTTTGGAATTCTTACATGGAATATGTTCTTAATAAGCTTACTTCTATATTGATATTATCAGTAGTTTAGAGGCATATATGACTGATTACTTTTTACTTAGTTTCTCTTCTAATTGGATTTCAGCGTGTTAAGGTCTACCGTCTGAATGATGATGGGAAATGGGATGACCAGGGTACTGGACATGTCACTGTTGATTATTTGGAGGTTTGTACATCTTTTCTGTTAAACTGTCATTTGTTACATGAAGAATTGGTTTATGATAGAAGTCACAGAACACAATGGTGTTGCTTGATCCATGTACTAGATTGCACCTAGCGGAAAAAGACTTTTGTTGTTGTTGTTGAAGCTGTCATTTTTGATTGACATGCCTATTACATACATCTGCTTGACTTTCCCTTCATGTTTTTTTTTTTTTGCATGCTTTGAGGCTTTTATCTTTGCCTTTTGAATTATAAATTTATGAGTAAATACCCTTTTTGGTCCTTAGCAAATTTCATGATGCCCGCTTTAGTCCCTAGCAAATAAAAAGGTCCATCGTGGTCCCTAAAAAATTCAAAATAGACCCGTTTAGTTGAAATTGTGGTCTCTCACAAATTCAAAAAAGATCCATATTAGTCCTCAAAAAGATTAAAATGGGTCCATTTTGAATTTCTTAGGGACCACAATGGGCCTTTTTATTTGCTAGGGACTAAAGCGGACATCGTGAAATTTGCTGAGGACCAAAAAGGGTATTTACTCTAAATTTATAATATTATCTATTTTTAAGACAATCTCCTTAAGAATTGGTTAATATATTAATTTTACTGTTAAGCACTGCTTTCTTCTGATTTCTGATTACCATTACGTCTTCCCTGTTCACCATGATCAAATTTGTGTCATTTAGAGCTAATATGGTTTGAGTATTCAAAAAGTGGGTGGTCAATAGGTATATTACCCTATGCAAATGCATATCATTTATATTTGGTTTTTTTTTTTTTTTTTGAGATTCTTTGTATTTAAAATGAATAAAAATAAATAAATCTAATGCAGCGATCAGAAGAGCTGGGCTTAATTGTTTATGATGAAGAAGACAATGAGACCATACTTTTGCATCGCATCAGTTCTGATGATATTTACAGGAAGCAAGAAGGTAATTATAGTTTTTATTTTTTCTCTCTCTCTCTCTCTATATATATATATATATAATGGGTTACTGTCATTCATTTATGCTTTAAATATACTTGGGTTCATTGCCTTTGTCAGTTTGATGGATGCTTTTGTTCCTCAGATACAATCATCTCATGGAGAGATCCGGAATATGCTACTGAACTGGCACTTAGCTTTCAAGAGAGTAGCGGGTGCTCTTACATATGGTAGCAAATCGCTAGTGATTTTTAATTAAATCATATCTTGTGTTTTGTTCCTACTTCTGTGGATTGAGACTAATTACTATGCCTGTTTCATTCAGGGACCATATTTGTACTGTGCAGAGGAATATGATTTTTAGTTCTTTAAATAGTAAGTAGTGGAAACTTTTAATCTCATTATTACTTCTGTATGTTGGATGTGCTTGTGTGTCTGCTAAATGAGGATTCTTTTTTGTTGCATATTAATTGATTGCTAACTTGATCATCTATGAAAATTAATACCTCAGAGCTGGTCATTAGCTCCTGTGGCAGAATATCTATCTATCTATCTATATATATTCTGCTGAAGTGCGCTATTTACATACTGTTTTTGACCATCTCTTTTGCTTTATGCGCCTAATCAACTTGTTTTCTATTTTATAGATTAACTCTGACTGTTTTTGTTTTATATTTCAGATGAGTCATTCCACAGTGTTAACAGTGAGTTAAGGGAGTTGCCTGCTGTTGAGCTATCAACACTTCCTTTGATTCTTAAGGTTTGGGCATATGCCTTAACCTTTTATTTCTTTATTTCTTTATTATTTTTCAAGTTCATTATATCTATTGTCCATTTGTTTTCATCAGTCTGGAGAATCAATTTTAGTCAGATTAGCTGTGGCTTCTTTTGTTTTCAACATACGAAAATTCTGAAACAATGAGTGATTTAGCTTCTTCTAAGGCCCCAGAGAGAGTTTATTTCCTGAACAACATTTTTGTAGTGATAATGTTTGTTTAATAAATCTTCTTACTCTTGGTTGATTGGCATGTTGAGCTACTTATGATATCAGTTTTGGTTGAATGACCTGGGGGTATTGCTAATGATGTTCTGGATTGGACCTTGTGTTAATAACATTCATCAAGAGCTAGGTAGGGCATGCATTAGAAGCAATATCTGTTAAGTGTTGTTCGGATGGTTTGAGAAATGAGAAATAGGATAAGATTTTGAACTGATCTGAATTCAGGATTGTATTTTCTATATTTTATTATGTTAAACCAGGTGAACAAACAGAATGGGGAGAAGAGAAATAGACACATGATTTATTATGGTGACCTATAGGCCTACATTCATGAGTGAAACAGAAAAAGTTCAATATGACCAAGTAAGACTACTAGGGTATGTAGTTGTTGAATATGAACATGGAGAGAGACCATGGAAGCTGTGGGAAAATTAAAGAAAACTAGTAGAGAGAGAAACTAAAGCTTGGCTCTCAAAACTAGAAATTTTATTTCTGAACTGGTGAACTTTTACACAGTATCAAGTACTTATACAGCTTTAGATTCAATTACACTGTTGGGGGGAACTGTTTCAACTGAATTCAGAGGCAGTTACTGACAGTAGCTGTCAGAGCTAGTTAGGTCATTCTGTTACAATGAGTGTAGCAACCTTAACTAGCTACTCTTACATTCTCTAACAGTCCCCCTCAAACTCACGGTGAATGAGTCAACTGAAACTGATCAAACACCGAGTTTGTCCCTTACACTAGAAAACCTGTACAGGGACTTAATCAGACCATTAGCAAGCTGATCATCAGCGGTAACATGAGCAACAATCAAGCTCTGAATAAGAACTTCCTCTTGAACATAAAATATATGCAGTTCCATGTGTTTCTTGCGCTTGTGCAGTACTGGATTGCAGAAGGTAACAGGCAGAACAGAAATTATCAACATCTCATTATTGAAAGGAAGATTACATAGTTTAAGTACATGGTCAACGGTTTTAACAGCATGACAGCAAAGCGCAACCTACTAACCAATCTGAAACTAACAAAGCATACTAACACTAAATCACTAATTCACACACTGCATACAGTTCAGTACTTATAAAGTACGGTAACACAACATAAGAGGAAGTGTGAGTAATGAAGGATGGGATGTGAATCCAAGTGTGAGTAATGAAGTCCCATATTGGCTAGAAATGTGCTAAGGGAGGACCATATAAGTGGAAGGACTCATAAACCCAATACCTTAAGGTTTTTTTTTGAGATATGTTGTCAGAGCCCACTTATGATAGAGTCCGTAGCTTAGCCCATATGATGGTAGATTTTCCCCTACCATGAGCTCCCCCCGTTACCTATCATTGGTATCAGAGCCAATGGTTGATTGTCCTGTGTGAGTAGTGAGTATTTGGAGATTATGGTGGTTAGTATTCTGATTTGTCAGCCTTCCAAACCCATGATGAGGAGCCAAAGTCTTGATGAGTCGAGCTAAGCCTTGATGTAACCCCATGAATACTCGAAGAAGCCTCCGCTTGAGGGGTAATGAATGTGGGCCTAGGACTCACACTTTAGGGGGAGAATGTTGGAATGGGAATCCAAGTGAGTAATGAAGTCCCACATTGGTTAGAAATGTGTTAAGTGGGGACTATATAAGTGGAAAGACCCGTAGACCTAATGCTTTATGTTTTTGGATTGAGATGTGGTGTCCGAACCCACTTATGATAGATAGTTCGTAGCCTAGCCTTTTGATGGTGGATCTCCTCCTACCATGGGCTCCCCCCGCAACCCCACAACAACACCCCGTAAAACTCCTTTTTAGCCCATCAACTAAACGAGCCTCAAAAGGTTCAATATTACTTACAGTCAAATGTAGCTTTTGAGCAAGAGATTGGTTGATAAAATTATGACTAGGTCCACCGTCAATCAACAAGAAGACTTTTTTTGTGTAATTTCACCCTTCAATTTCACGGTCTTTGTAGGGGTTTGGGGTTATCCTGGGAGCAGAAAATAACGATTAAACCATCCATTTGAACTCTCCATCAACTGCATCCACTGCCTCGTTTCCTGGACCAACAGTTGCTAAAGACTCCGCCTCCGGTCCAATTTCCGCAGCCTTATTGTCACCTAAAATGGTGAGGCGTAGGCATTTTGGCTTCACACTTATGGTCTGGAACAAAAATAAATCCACAATTCTGCTGTTGTATTGGCTGTGATGATATTTGAATCCTGCTGTTGTACATAAATAATCTAACATTTTGTGTATATTTTGTTATGCTAGTGTGATGTTGGTTTTCTCTTCATTTTTATTAATAAAAAGCAATTTCATAATTCTAGTTATTGATGAGTTTCATTCTACATCCAGGGAATGAGTTGAATTTGAGTACTGGGTTAAAAGAATTCACTTTTATCCATGAAACTTCAATATATTTTCATCCATTTTACTTTTGGGTTTGCAGACTCTGGTTGACAGTGGCATTGCAGATCAGTTGCGGCTTACGGAATTAATATTAAGTGATGTAAGTTAACATAAACCTCTGGTATTTGTGCATGTTCTGTCTTCATAGGGTAGGCCAGTGACCTTCATTCTGCACTATTTGGTGATCTCTCTCAAGTTGTTATAGATTTCTCATTCTTTAAGTTTCTATCTTTTGATTGCAAACCTGTCCTTTTTTTTAGTAAGAATTTCAAGATTTTTTAACCATGTTTGCTATGGAGAGTATGCTGCTGCTTACGGTAGACCTAGGACACTCTTATCCTGATATATAAGCAAACTCATTCGCTTGTCTTGGCATTTAGGACATTAGATACAATAAATTGTTGCCTAGCTTTCTGTGGTGGTATGTAAGCCATCTAAGAAATCTCATTTGTGCACTGTGTTTAACTCTAGATTTTCTTTGCATGTGTTGTTCATTTTTGTGTGGTAAGCAAACATTATCTGAAAATAAATTTGGAGAAATTTATTACTGTATATCATATAAAATTTGAGGTTATTTGTAAGGAAAAAAATCATGTTTCGTGAAGTATTGTGTCTGTCATGCTATGAATGTTCATGTTATCGGAGTTGGGCCATATGTCATCTTGATGCTGGTTATGCTGATAATTTCCATATGTAATATTATAATTTCCATTCTTCTCTAGTCACAGACACTTTGGATATTCCTAGCTTCATTTTATAATTTTTTTGAACTTGTATACTAATACAAATGAGCATGTCAAAATAATTAGATAAGTAATAGCATTTTATTTTGTTTACAATGACTCATGCAAGTTTCTAAAACATTGAAACTCTCTTTTGATTTAAGATTTTTTTTACTTTAATTTTATACTTATTTTATATGTTGGACTACAGATTTGTCGTGTCGTATATTTCTTAAAATTTGCCGTATCCTCATGTCCATGTCTGTTTCGTATTGTATCCGTGCCACGTGTTTTATCCATGCTTTCTGGCTAATTACTAATGTCTATCTTGTTTGCATCATAACCTTGGTTATATAGTGGTTTTTTTGTTCATTTTTAATTCTGAAGCCTGCATATCACATATTCATCTGTTTGGCAGAGCGCCTAATAGACTCTTTGTAAACTAAATATTTTTTCTGCTTGTCTATTTTATGTCCATCCTTTTTAATTTGCGTTCAAAATGCAGAAAGATTTTTTTCTGAAGCTAATGGAAGTATTCAGAGTTTGTGAAGACTTGGAGAATATGGATGGCCTTCACATGATTTTCAAAATACTCAAAGGGATCAGTCAGTATTCATGTTTTTACGTCATTTTGATTTGGATCCCTATTTTGTCATTTATGCCTTTATTCATTCCCATGATATGTTTACTTTCTTGCAGTTTTGCTTAATAGTCCATCAATTTTCGAGAGAATTTTTAGTGATGAACTTATAGTGGACGTTATTGGTGCCCTTGAGTGTAAGTGCATTCTTGAGAAATTATTTTTTCAATTAAATGAAATGAGATTTTCATGTTCAGCCATTATGTCATATATCTTTATTTACTTCTCTGCTTTTGTTTATTTTGTGTTTTTTATTTAATAATTTCTCTGTTTAGTAAACCCTTCTGAATTAAAAATGTTGTATGATGTCTTGCTTTCATTTTAGAGTTGCTTAATAGAGGTTTAAATTAGTCGATGTTGTTGATTTAGATGCTTTCATTTTAATTTCTCCATTCTTTACCTCTACTTTTTTAGACTTCTGATCCACTTATTTTGGCTATATGCAGATGATCCAGAGGTTCCTTGTGTTCAGCATCATCGTAAATTCTTGAAGGAGCATGTTGTTTTTAAGGAGGTGTGTTTTGTTATTTCTTTTATTTTGGGAGAGTGGCAAGGTAGTAGGTAGATCCAGGAAATTTTAGCTCATGGTGTTTTATCTTTTTTCTCTTGTAGGCCATACCTATAAAAGATCCTATTGTGTTGTCGAAGATACACCAGACATATAGAGTTGGTTTTTTGAAGGTTTGATTCTTTTTTAGGCCTTTTATCTGTGCTTGCTTTCTTCTTTAATGTGATTTTTACCTTCTCACTTTCAGGATGTTGTTTTGGCTAGAGTCTTGGATGAGGCTACTGGTGCAAATCTTAACTCCATAATACATGCAAACAATGCCTTTGTAAGATTTGATCAATGAAAAATGAAGACATATCATTTAATGTAGGAGTGTTAAGATTTATTGTTGACTGCTCTGTTACTTTTTAGGTTCTTTCTCTATTGAAAGACGACACTACATTTATCCAGGAGTTGTTTGCTAGGTTAAAATCGCCTGCCACCTCTCAAGAATCAAAGAAGAACTTGGTAAGTCTTGATGAAGATTGCTTTTGTTTGCTTCTCTTCGGATATACATGGAAGTTTTAGAGATATTTAGATGGAATGGAGAATTGTTGGCTTCCCTTTTATTTGGATGATTAATAGGGATAGAAAATGGGAAGGTTAATTATTCCCTTCTCCTTAAAAAATTCTTGAACTCTCAAATATGAGTAACTGTTCTGATAAGTACCAATCAGAACAGAAAGGAAAATGAACAGAACAAAGAAATTTGATATTGAACTGAACAAAATAGTAAAAATACAGGGATGGAAATTCAAGAAAATACAAGATGGAAATAGAAAGGTAAAATAGTTCTAGAGCACTTAGAGAGGCTCTAGTCTCTCCCAATCCCAACCCAAGCCTAAGATTCCAGATACCCTTTAGAATGATGATCCCCTTCTCTAAATAGAATCAGCTCCCCCAATGTGACTCAATGCCATCCAATGTGACTCAATGCCATCCAATGTGACTCTCAACAACTAACCTCCCATGCTAACAACTTTTGCTGACTCAACATTATGCAATATTCCCTTGCTTCTCCTTCTGTCATACGCCTTTCTAAACCATTTGCTGGACCGGATCGTACTGTTTTCCCTTCCCATCCTTTCCTCTTCCATCCCTATTATTAACCCTCATCACAAAAAACTTAGCCATGACAGTGATACTGTACAATTTTCAGGATGAAGTAATTTCATAACTTAAATTTGCCCCTGCCTGGAGATGTAGCTTATTTACATATATGCTGTGCACATGGTTCCATTTAATGAAATTTTGCTTTTAGAAGAAATAGAATCCCAGTACATGGTTATGCTAATCAATGGTCTCTGTTTTCCCGTACACTTCACTTTTGTTCCCAAATCAATAGGTTTGTTTCAAACTTTCGGTAATAGATTGCTTATCTTGAGTCAGGTTCTTGATCATTGATCAAGGTAACTACTACTGTTATAAAATCTCCTTGGGCTTCAGTTTAAAACTTCATTTAATACACTAATACTGCTTGTGCTTCCCTGAACTAAGCCTAATTTAATCGAAGTTCACTTATACTCTAGTTTTCAATTTAAATGTATCAAACTGTGATGTTCAAACCGTGAATAGAATATGTTTTTATAAATTATACCCTTGTTATTTAAAATGACTTTTTTAATCAGAAGGGATGCATTCATATTGTCTCTCATTTTTACCTTAGCTTTAAGGAATTCTTTGAATAGTAGCACTTCCTTTTATCAACCGATCATCACTGTAGAACAAAACCAAATGATGAAATGTTCTGTTTATTCTTCATCTTTTGTTTTCTTCCAAATAAGTCATGCACATTAAGATGAACCATAACAGAGTGATTTGGTAGATACTTGAGCAAATTAGTGCTATTATAATAGGGGAAGTGCTTCACTTTCTTTCAAAATGAATCTTGAATGTAAATAATTTCATATATTGAGGTTTTATATTACTGTGGAGTTCTTCCTATCTTGTATTGTTATAGTGGTTAAATGTTGATGCTGCCTTGTTTGGTTGCTCATGATCTTCCATACTACTGATTCTTATTCTAAATATATTTTGCCTCTTCTATGGGATGGACAGGTCTATTTTTTACATGAGTTTTGTAGTTTAAGCAAGAGCTTACAGATGGTGCAGCAGCTTCGGCTTTTTAGGTAAATTATATTGGGATGGTACATCTTGACACTGCCTGTTCTGCTGCTTGTCTTCCTTCATCAATTTAAAAATCAGTTGCTGTTGTTCAAATGCTATTTCTTAAGTTGTTTAGGCAGAATTTGATAGGATTAGATTACCCAATCTTAAGGAGAGAAAAATACAAAAGAAAAGTAAGAACCAAAGTTCCCAGCTATGGAGAGTTTCCCCTAGTCCAGCCTCACACAAACCAACCAGAATTAACGATACCTTCCTATGATAATTATTCCCCTACTTAAACAGAAAAAAAATCCCAAACCGAAATGTAAAACAAAAACATAAACATCCTACATAACTACCTCCTTAAATAAAGGAAACGAAATATCTACTAAATCTCCTAATTATATTATTCTCTCTCTCTCTTCTAACTACCCTATCCTAAGAAGAACTGTCTTCGCTTGGGCTTCTTGGGCCTGCGGGTGTAAACTTGGAGGGGCTTGGTTTGATTAGGTGTGGCAATTATTGGTCCTAGCCCATCCTTATTATTTTTGTTTTGCTAGTTATTCTACCTTCAGGGAGTTATTGAATCCCATTGATTATTAGTTTCAAATTCTGAATCTTTGTAGGGATCTAATGAATGAAGGCATCTTTGACATTGTCACTGATGTTTTGCAAAGTCAAGACAAGATGCTTGTGCTAACTGGGTATTGATTCCCCTTTGTCAGTTTGATCTGTATAAAACTCAGTTGACTGTTCTGTTTGTTACATTTCTTATGATTAATTACTAATAGGAAAGCATTGTGATGATTGCAGAACAGATATCCTCATTCTCTTCATGAATCAGGATCCTAATCTTCTGCGATCCTTTGTTGTTCGGCAGGAAGGAATAACACTTCTAGGACTTTTGGTATGTTTTGTTTGCGACTCGCATATTCTTTCTAGATGATATGTATGTATAGAGAATTAGCAGAAATCAAATAACCTTGCAATAAGTCAATCGTATTGATTAGTGGGATGTTTCGCTTGTCTCCTTGTATAAATGTCTGCTAGTCTGAAATCTTGCTGCACACTGTTGTAGGATGAATATGTGGTTGGGATCTGTAGCCTGTGATAGTAAGACTGATGTATTACTGGAAGGAATGAATACAAGACATAAGTTAGTGTTGGTAGAAGTTGATTTTGAGAGCCAAAGGAAAGGAAATACAGATTGAAATAAACTGTTTTGGGAATGTAAGAGTTACTGCAAAATGTAACCATGGGATTTGTAGTATTTCATTAGTGTTAATGTTATTAAGAACAGCAATCCAGACAAAAGATTTGAACTTATGGGGAGTTTTGGAGTTCCTAATGGGTTTGTCCAAAAGAAAACTATCTCTATTATGGGACCTAGTCAGGAACTGAGAAGAATCACCGAGCAATACTTATCCTAAATATTCGCCAAGCAATATTTGTTGGTGAAGTTGTTCAAAATCAAATTTTATGCTAGGATTTACCAAATGGTGGCAGCTTAGTTGGCGCATGGGAGCTAAAGAGGTGGGAGTGAGAGCATGTGTTCGATCCTCCCAGTACCACTTTTGGGAGAGGTTTAAAGTCTTAATCATGGACCTGTCCCGAATTGGACTAGTCGCGAAGCGATGAACCGATTGGAATATTTTCAAAAAATAAAATAAAATAATGCTAGGATTTCAAACCATTTACCACTTATAACTAGAGAAGATAGTTTTAACTTCAACAATTGTAAACTAGTTCTGTAATTTTTCCAAAGTCTTGCTTAAAACATTACTTCATTGTAGTACAATATCTTCCATTGTTCCCATCATAAGACCTTATAGTGCTGAATTGGCAAAAAATCTATTCCAAATTTTGACTCTGACCTTAATCTATTGAAACTATCACATATTCTCCAGAGTTGACTACTATGTTAGGAACTAATTAAAATCTATGAATGCTTTCTAGGTTCTAACATTTATTAGTTGATCTGTTATGTATCTGGTTATGTTTTTTTGGTAAAGCTAGTCCAACATGTATTTATTAGTTTTGCTATCATGTACAGGTTAAAGGAATGATAACAGATTTTGGAGAGAACATGCACTGTCAGTTTCTTGAGATTCTTCGCAGTTTATTGGACTCATGCACGTTGTCTGGACCACAGGTTCCTGCTAATTTCTGGAACCTCTCAATTTTTGACCTTGTATTTGTAACTTATTTTGATATGACCATATTTAGTCTTGACTAAAATATGTTTTGTATTTTTATTTCTTTTGTAGATCTTAATTTGCTCGTATGAGAGAAAGCTAATCTTTGATTGATAATTTATCTACTCCTGTTTCATATCCGGATATGAGTTGTTTTGAATTTAATAGAGAATAATATAAACCATTAACAAGACCCTCACCCAACACCTTAAGGTTTTGGGTTGAAGTGGTTCTTTACAAATTTACTCACATTTTTTATTATAGCTGTATTTAGTTTTAAATCGTGAATCTCTTTCTCTTTATCATTTAATATTTAATCTTTTCAGTTGATGTTATTCTTTGTCTATGTTGGATATTGCTATCGGCTATCTTCTTGAATTTATTATTTTGGGGGTGGGGTAGTTGTTTTTCTCACTTTGTGGTAGTTTTGCATCTTGCGTCTCCATTTGAATTTTCTTTTACTGGTTTAGATTTGAATGTTGAGTTTTGTTTTATAGTATATCTACTCATTGTTGAAAATGCTTGCGAGTTAGAATTAAATGTCAGATCAACGTATTTAAGTTTGTCTGTGCAGGTATAAAATTTGAATGTGAGTTGTGTTTTATAATATATCTGCTGAATTGTTCGAAAAACTTGTCAGTTAAAGTTTCACGTAAGGTGGAAGTCTTTTTTATGTTTGTAAGATAGGTATTCCTGGACTTGTTTTGTTGATTGTTTTATTTTTATCCAACAGAGGGACACAATTATTGACATCTTCTTTGATAAGCATTTGGGTCAACTTATCGAAGTTATAATAGCATCTTGTCCTTCAGAAAATATTGTCGATGCAAGTGGCAAATCACTAGGTCCTGGACGAAGAGTTCAGTGTCGGAGTGGGACAAAGCCGGAGATACTATCAAACATATGTGAATTGCTATGCTTTTGCGTCCTACATCACCCATACAGAATAAAGTATATGCTTGTTGCTCTGCAGTAATAAAATTGACCTTTTGTTGTTAATAATGAAAATTGTGATCATGGATATTTCTTTGCTGTTTTTAGGTGCAACTTTCTTCTTAATAATGTCATTGAAAACATTTTGCTACTGACACGGAGAGCAGAAAGATACTTAGTTGTTGGTGCTGTCCGGTTCATTCGAACTATTCTCTCCCGCCATGTAAGTTTTAACATTTATGTAGATACTGTATTTTGTTATGAATTGTGAGGAAAATACAAATTGGGTTGAAGAAAACAAGGATATTTATACTTTTTAAGGTATCTCAGTTTTGTCAATAGCAGCTGCTCTGGCAGAATGTGTGCCAATTTTGGGGTTCCCGCTATGGTATTGGCATCAACCATGACAACTGTATCATGGAACTATGGCTTTTGCCTGAGTTTGAAAATAAACTTTTTTCTCATTTTATTTTGCCCCAGAATTATAAATTAGTTCCCTTTCTTAGAATTTTGTAGAACAATATTTTGTGCTCGACTTTTTGCCTTTTGCAGTTTCTTTCTTCTCGAGGAATCTTATTTTCAGCTACTAAGTATTATTTTGGAGCTCATCATCCTTGTTATTACCAAAATAAATGTTATTCCTTATAGAAGCAGTTTTCATTTGGCTGCTTTACATGCAGTAATCTAACAGTCTGGAGTGTTAAACTGCAGGATGAGCATCTGATAAATTATTTTGTTAGGAATAATGTTCTCAAACCGATTGTAGATGCTTTTGTTGCTAATGGCAATCGCTACAATCTACTCAATTCTGCTGTTCTTGAACTTTTTGAGTACATTCGGAAGGTGCCAATCTTTATCAAGTATTCATTGTGGATATTAGATGCCTCAAGCAACGTTACACTAATGATGATGTTTCTTGTAGGAAAATCTGAAATTATTACTGAAATACATAGTTGATTCTTTCTGGGAGCAGCTGGTGAAATTTGAGTATTTGGTTTCTATAAACTCACTGAAAGTAAAATACGAGCAGGTAAATCTTGTTTTTACCTGCATGACTTCTGGGCTATAAGCACCTAGGTTTGAGAATACATGCTTGCTTGCAGTGTTTGGATAGTGGTGGGACAAAAGATGCTGCTACTGTAATGGACCTTCGAAGACGAATTGATGAGCGTGCTCTGGATAAAGAGGAGGAACGCTACTTCAATGAGGACAGGTACATATCTTATTTCTTAATTATAATAGGAGATTTTCAATTTCTTATACAATTAGCTTGGAGTTTCTTAACTTTTGGTGAATTGATCAGTGATGAGGAGGATATAGCCTCCGCATCTGCTGTTCCATGTAATGAGAAAGGACACCAACAACCCATTCTATCCAATGGAGTCGCTGCAAGCAATTCACAGTTAAGGTAGACTTATGTTTCCTTTTACTTGATTTGTTCAATTTTCCGAAGTATATGCTCTATAAAGTAATGTGTTCATCTTGATTTTCAGTCCAAGGTCTCTTGTTGACTATGATGATGATGAGGATGATGAAGACTACAAGCCACCACCAAGGAAGCAGCCAGAAGCATCTGAGGAGGATGAAGGGACAATGGAGTATCTCAGGCTAAAAAGGAAATTGCCTTCAAAGGATATGGAGCCTGAACTTGTGAAGAAGCAGAAGTTATCAAAGAATCCAAAGGCTAGAGGTAGTGTTTTTGCTGCCTTGTGTTCAACACTGAGCCAAACTGGGCTACCTGGTAAGAAAACTGCAATCAACATTCATACAGGTGCTCGAACAGTTGAGGGAAGGATGGGCTCAAATGAAGACAACAATCAGGAAGAGGGGCAAAATGTTTCTAGAAGCAGCTCTAATAATTGCATCACATCAGCTGAAGATAACCATGTAGAGAAAGAAACTGCAGCCTCTAGAAGCTTTTCTGATTGCTTGCATGCCACATCAGATAACATACAGTTGGGTGGAGAGGAACGTCCATTAGTTCCCCCAAAATCCTCAACAGAGATGGCTGTAAATGGATCGTGAATTTTTAGAATCCTTAGGCAGGAAGGCAGATTGTTCTATTTGACGTATGGATTTTGCCCGGTGGCCAAAGCTATATAGCTTTGAGACAAAGGAATTTTACCTACAAGGAGGTAAATTTCTGGTTATGCGTTGCTTCGAGGACCCAAGGAGATATTGTACAGTGCCACTATAAGGCGGGAAGATATTATTAAATACGGCAACGTGGGTGGGTCTAGTCTTCTCCTATCCTTCAGTCTGCTATATTGGGCTTTGAGCTTTGACTTGTTGCTTTTGTATAACATTCTTGAGCAATAATTTTGTGTATTTCCCCCATTCCAAATTTTACATCGTCCAGCTCATTTACTTACGTAGTTTCCGCCGGCGGATCCAGGGTGCTGGTGGGGGTGGATCATATTATCGTAATTCTTAATTATTTTAACTTGGTGATAGAGGGCGCTAATATCTTGCCCTACTCAGGCTTTCTTGTGTTTTTGTCCCCTTTTTTCTGGTGGTGGATGTGTTAATAGGGATATGTGCAGTGAGTTTCTAGGCCAATTTTTCACAATCATCACCCGTTGTAAATCTCAATTAAACTTGTTACGTATGCAATGAACTTTTCATGCACTTCTTCCACGTGCTAAATACTTCCTCACTTAAGAGTTGGCAATGTAAAAATTCCATCTTCGGAAACTATTCTATCCTTAATAGGAACAGATGTATTTATTTGAGTCAGGTTCAAACCGTGTACGGATGTATTTCCCCCATTATTACCATTGATTTAAATATTATCAAATGTGGTAAAATGATAATAAAAGCTTTTTTACTTTTGGCTAACAACTATAGATAGAATTCAAACGTATCTAACAAGAGATTGTCTAAAAAGTAGAGTTTAAGTTTATCAACGGTTACATTGGGCTGGCTACCTATTTAATATTTCTATTTTTATTATCATTTTACCACAGTTGATAATATTTAAATCAATGGTAATAAAAAAAATATGAGTATTATATTACATAACACATTTTGTTCTCATATTATAAGAATAAAAATATGTGAGTTCTACAGGAAAAAAGATCTATCTTTTTGTGTTTATGATATAATATAAAATGTTATGTAATATGATATTTATAATTCCCTTGATTTAAATATAATTAACTGTGATAAAAAAAATAATAAGAGTGAGAAGATTAAATAGATAAGAAAGATATCTTCCCCTTTAAACATTACACTTAGGGTGTGTTTGGTTCAAGAGAAATTTTTTGGTGACCGGAAATCATGATTACTGGGAATTTAATAGAAATTGAGTTTGCTTGGAATCTTACGAAAGAGGTGTTTGGTTCGTCAAAATATTACAGAAAATATTGGGTAAAAATTACTGATTTTATATTTGGTTTAGAACGAAATATGATTTGGAATATGAGGTTATTTTACAAAAATAACCCCAAACTATTTTTACTTTTGTAATTGATAGATTGGGTCTAGATTTTTATGTGTATTGGGATATTTTTGTCTCAAAATTCATTGTTGTGTTTTCCCTTTACTTGGTATTCTGACTGGTATTCCGAATTACCATATTATTTTTGGTAATCTGAATAGTGACTTTTCTTTATAAATCAAATTACCGGTAATCCTTAGATATCCAGGAATCGTAATTTATTCCTTCTACCAAACGTGATAATTACATTTACCAAAGAAAGATTACCGATAATCGTCTTCAAAAACTTCAACCAAACACCTCCTTAACTTGTTTTGATATAGAGATTTTGTGGCTCGATCAAAGCCTCGAAGGGAACGACTCGGTCGCAACTCGCAAGTAGCTAGTATTAGTACTTGTAGTTAAGATGCACGAGTGAGCAGAATTCAAGCGTCATCATCGGATTTCGAGTGATACTAAAAGACATGTGTCAATTCTGTTGCAAATGTGATGCCACCAACTGCGCGTTCTAGTAATTTAGAAACATCCACGTGTGGGTCATCGAAACACGTGTTCTCCAACCCACTATGTTACGTACCTTGTGGACACTTTCTTCATCTCACTCTTTTTGTAACCATTTTCACTAATAATAGTTTTATTTTTTCTCTTCTTTCTTTCTTCTCCATCTGTTTTTGCTTTAAGTGCGAATCAGAGAGGATTTGAACGAGAATTTTGTTGGGTTTATTCACACTAAGTGCTTAAAAAATCAAATAAGATGAACAGCAGCAGCAACTTGGAGACACGATCTTTGTTGGATGAGCTTAGTTGCTTTAATAAAGGAGGGCTCTTCGAACTTGGCCACCCTCTTCTCAACCGCATAGCTGAGAGCTTTGTCAAAGCTGCTGGGGTACTTTCAAACCTTCTCTTTCTCCTATGTGCATGCGTGTGTGTGATGTGAAAAGTTAATCATGTTTGAATGTTAAAGTTAACTCTCTTCACTCTCATAGGATGATAGGATTTCTAGTTGCTAGCTGATCATGTCTTTCTTAATTTCTTACAGATAGGAGCGGTTCAAGCTATCTCCCGTGAGGCCTATTTCACAGCTGTTGAAGGTGCAATGCTTTCCCCATCTGCTGCTTTTTTTTCAGTTTAATTTTGCAAATCATCATTATAAACGCAGATATATAGGAATGGGGTTAAATTTTAATAACAATTAATGTTTTTCTTTTACATGTGTATGTGTTAGTGTGTGTGTTAATATGTTTTGTACATTATTCTTTTATGTAAATGACTCAATTTTTTCATGGGAATGGTGACCTATTATATTGGAATTACTAATCGTTATTTATTATTTCTGTCCATGCATGCATGATATGGGTTCATATAGGTACCGGCCTTGATAATACTGGCGGTATGCCTCCAGAAGTTTCTGGCGCCAAGAAAAACCGTTTGTCTGGTCTTAGAGGTACTTGCAACTTTACTCGGCCCCATTGATTGAATCAGTTCGGAGTACGCAAATATGAATCTTGAAATTGATTGAAATTAGCAAATATATTGTTCCTCCAAAAAAGAAAAAGGCAAAAATTTTGTATGTTGTGAATTCAAATTTTGGGTTAAGATGAGTATCAAGCCCACTTATTATAATGGATTATCATTTAACCCATAACGATCTCATTTTATGTGGTCTTGGAGTACATACTCCTTGCCCAAAAATGAGAAAATATGGGATATGGATGAAAATAAATATAAAGACAAGGATAGTGTAAAAGTGTTACTTTAAAGGAGTACCGAGTACTCTGGTCATGGAGCACCCAAAATATTTTCCTAACATTGTGTCCATGTTTATGGGATGTCAATCTCTTTATACTTTATTTGAAGCTCGGCTGGGAAGGGAAGCTATAAGTTGGGAAAATAGTAATATTTGTTTCTCTTTTTGTTTTGTACATGCAGGAGAGACCAGCAGCAAATCCCTTGAGGCCATGGTGAGTTTATAAACTTTGAACAATATATAATACTTTTCCCACCTGAACCCTTCACAAATGGTTATCGCCTTAATGTTCCAAAGTAAACTTGTAATGTCAATCTGTGCTAAATTAGGTGACCCTTTATTTCTTTCCGTTAATTGTTGTCTTTTTTCCTTCCTCAGGTGAAGAATACCGGAAAAGAGTCCTTTCAATGGGGTAATGATATATATATAATATTTTAATTTGCTAATGATTAGTGAATGTTTTTAGTCTTGTAATAAATCATAAATGCCAAATTTGCAAGGAAAAGTTGAGTATGACTACATTCTCTAGTTTCTTCGTGCACATGTTCTATGTTTAGTCCTATTCCATTGATCAAGGGGTTTTAAAGCAAATTGTCCCTGTGTGAATGACCAATGATCCTTACAGATTTTTCTAAAATGCAGGATTGGCTGCAGGAATATATTCAGGACTCACATATGGGCTGAAGGAAGCTCGTGGAGCTCATGACTGGGTAATGTTCTAAATGACAAAATTTATAGTGCATCTTTATAAAAGGAACTTTCACTCTTCACTAGTGTGAACAATACATGCTTGTTAGCATGAAGATTAGGAAATTTTTAGATATTTAATAGTTCAATTGCTATTTGGTCCCTACTTCTATTATTTGTGTAGTGGCAAGTACTCTGTTGCTCGTATTTCAGTAAAAAAATTACATAATTATTCATTATGTTTGATGCAGAAAAATAGCGCAGTTGCAGGAGCAATAACGGGGGCGACACTTGCACTTACATCAGAAGACTCATCTCATGAACATATTATGCAATGTGCTATCACTGGAGCTGCAATCTCCACAGCTGCAAATCTTCTAACTGGGATATTCTAAATGGGTGCCCTGTTATTAAATATGGCTGTTGAGATTCATAACCTTTTTTTTTTTTTTTGTCGTCTGAATTGTGACAGTTACTGGTACATGTTTAAGATGAACTTGCAAGGATTTCCTTTTGAATTTGTACTTCTCATTAATCACCTCCTTGTCAGAGGCTTACCACAAGGAGAGACAGACAATTTAATTTTAACAACTTAGTTTATATAAAACATGATGCTTTTTGGCATTTAGGCTCACCGTCCCTTGAAACTTTGGTCTTAGGTGAGGCGCGGCTGTGGTTTCATACCCTTCTTGTCATTCTGTCATTTTATTTTGGGAGTGGATGCTATCATGTCAAAATTTCACGTGAAGATTGTATCTATCTCTTTCTTCACATACATTAAATAGGTGGCGTTTAATTATCATTAATGAAGAAAATTTCACATGATGTTATGTTATTCCCTTTTATTTTTGCATTTATAAGTCCGTTCTTGAATTGTTTGTTCAGTTCCTATTTAGTTCTTTGCACACATTTTGTTAACAAGCAGTACGTGGTGGTTTCACTATATCCAGTTTCGGAACATTAACTCAATAACTGATTCCCTCCCTGCATGCCGACAATTTTGTATTTTATTTTTATTTTTTCATTCATCAGCCATATTGACACCACTAATAACTATAACCTATAATTTAGGAAAGTTGAAATTAGGGGTGTCAATATAGGTTTTGAAATATGGGTGACCAGCAACACGATACAAAAATTCTTGTTTGGGTTGACTCGCAAAAAAATTCGTGCGTGTTCGTGTTGATGTACTCGTGTTCGTGTCGACCCGTATTTTTTTATACATAATTTTATTTTTAATTTATTATTATTATTTTTTTAACATCGATCCATTTTTTAATTTTTTTTGTCAATTATCATTTTGACTCTTATTTTGCGTGTTACTCGTGTCGTGTCGTGTCAACCCGCAAAAAATTTGTGTCGTGTCAGTGTTGAAGATTTTGACACGAATGAGTCGTGTTAGTATTGATGTATTTGTGTCATGTCGAATTTGTGTCGTGTCGACTCGTTTTGACACCCCTAGTTGAAATAAAAGCAACCCAACAATTCAGAAAATAATAAAAAAATAAAAAATCGTAACATTCCCTCCCCCTAAACTAACTCTTGTCCTCAAGAGTAAATTCAACATCAAGTAATTGAATCATCTTCAATATTCGCTTCTCCTTCACTTTTGTCCATCACCGCCTCGTCGACGTTCTCTTTTCTCACTGCTTGGATGGTGAATAATTGTTTGTAACGATGGCTTGAAGTGAATGCGTCATTACGGCGAATGAGAGTGGAACCGGTGGAAGAGGCGCCACTGCCTGAATATGAAGCACCGCTGATGGGAGTGGATAAAGGTGAACCCTTGGTGTTGCTGACTGTTATAGTACGTTGCACATTCTGAGCAGGAAAGATGATCTTCTGATCGTGAGCCTCATATAGTTTTGCCAGCCCAATAGCAGATGAGAGGGTGTTGGTCCTGTTAGCCACCAAGACATCCAACCGGTTGGAGAATTGGTTCAACATCTCCTTGAATTGCTCCGACAAAGACTGGACCGCGTCTTCCAATTTCTGAATACGTTTGTCCATGCCTGAGCTTTGATACCAATTGTTACGAACACAATAAATAAAAATGGGAATTTGGCCTTATCGAGAAAGCTTGACCTCAATTGGCTTTACTGAGAAAGTCTGACCTCTTGCACAAAGTGTCTTTTTTCAAAAAATTCTTCTGATTTCATTTATTCAAATACTTTAAGGTTTAAATAGATAATATAAGACAACCTTAGAAATAACTACCCACTAGCACTAGATAGACTCCACTAATAACTATAACCTATCATTTAGGAAAGTTGAAATAGAAATAACTACCCATTAATTAAACAACCCAACAATTCAAAAAATAATAAAATAAAAATAAAAAACTGTAATACCCTCATAATTATGGGGTGTATTGGATTGGGAGTTCAAAGGATTTTAATGGATTATTTTTGGACAAAAATTCCGTCGGTATTCGATTAGGATTTCAATGGATTGAAAAAAAGTCACGTGGTATTCAATTAGGATTTTAAATGATTATTTTAGAATCCGTCCAAATCCGTTGGTATTCAATCAGGATTTAAAACAATGAAATCACAATATCGTGGTATTAAAAAATCTGACGATTTTGATGGATTTTCTATTGGTGTGGATTTCGTGAGACTTTTTAGTGAAAAATATAAATAGGATGCCTCTTTCACAATCTCGCCCTAACCCCTAGGATTTCTTGAGATTCTTCTATTACAATATTTTCTTCTTCCTTTGGCAGGTTGACTGCTCGAAATCATGGGAGCTTCATCAAAACTAAAAAAAAAAAGAGCATATTTTTAAGCAATTTTCGTCACAAAACAACTCAGAAACAACAAACCAACGAGATTTTAATATAATTTATCTCAAAAATAACATATTTTTGAGTCATTTTTGAGAAGTTTTAGAAATTTAAAAAGTGATTTTTCAAGCTTCGGGTCGCGATTTTTGTTTACACAAAAACGTGTTATTTTTGTATTAAAAACAACATAAAATAGTGAAAAAATAACAGGGTGAACTAAAACCCTCAAACCAATTATCGTTTTACATCAAGGAAACAATATCAATTTAATTTTTTTTTGAAACTTTCATAATTTGAACCCTATATTTCGTAACAATACATTCATGAACGAAATTTCTTCTCTATAGAAATTGATTTCAAACAATTTTTGTGTCAATAGATAACTAAAAACTTGTTTCTCAAAAGCTTCAAAGCAATTTAAGGTTTCAATGTATTGACTGAAAAAAATTGAGCAATTTTCTAAACTTTTATGTAATTAAACCCAATATTTCAGATTCAAAATATTCTTAGAATATTCAATGAAAATATGCATATGATATATGGTTAGAAAACTCTCATCACGTAAAATAAAAACTCCAAGATTTTCAAGATCAATTGCAAAAATTTCCAAACAAAAATTTATTATAACTTTAGGTTCTATATGCAAATTTAGAATTAATTTTAGAATTAAAAAAAATTGGGTCTTATAATCATATATGCATAACTTTGATACCAAATGAAGAAAATAATTTTCAACCCTTTAGATAAGTGAAAAGCTGTTGCTTAGTAATTTTGAATGTTTGTTAAAAATTATATTATGTTTTACTGATTGAGAAAAATATATTAGGTTTTACTTTTTTTTATTAATTTCATTGCATTTCTTTGTTATTTTTTATGGAGAATATTATACTTACAGCTTATTTTTGTTTACAACTTTTTACAAGTTGTGAGTTTGAAGTTGCTTTCTATTGCTGATACTCGTTTTGCTTCAATGATTGTGATGCTGAAGAGGTTCAAGTTAATAAAGAGTGGTCTCCAAAATATGGTGATAAGTGAAAAATGGAATATTTATAGAGATGATAATCTTGGGAGAGCCAGACATGTGAAGGAAAAATTATTGGATGATTGTTTTTGGGATTCAGTTGATTACATACTTGCCTTCACTGCTCCTATTTATGATATGATCAGAGCTTGTGACACTGATAGAGCTTGTCTTCACTTGATATATGATATGTGGGATGCAATGATTGTGAAAGTGAAGAAAGCTATATACCGTAAAGAGGGGAGGAGGATGGAAGAGAGCTCCTCTTTTTATGATGTGGTGCATCGCATTCTTGTGGATCGTTGGACAAAAAACTCAACTCTGCTACACTGTTTGGCATATGCTTTGAATCCCAAGTAAGTTTTAAAATATGATTTAGTTTAAAATTAATACTTCTCTTGATATAATTTGACAACTTGTTGATTTTTTTTGCTTCTCTTTTAGATACTATAGTCAACAATGGCTTCAAAAAGATTCTAGTCGAGTTCCTCCACACATGGATTTGGAGCTTACTCAAGAGCGACAAAAATGTTTAAGGAGATTCTTTCCTAGCATGGAGGACCGAAGCCGGATTAGTTTGGAGTATGCAGATTTTATTAGCAATAGTGGAACCTTTGGCGATTTTGATGCCATCAATACTCAATACACTATGGCGAAATCTTGGTGGCTACTTTATGGTACCATTACACCGATGCTTCAAAAAATAGCATTGAGACTTGTGCAACAACCCTCCTCTTCATCATGTGCTGAACGCAATTGGAGTACTTATTCTTTTGTGCATTCCATCAAGAGGAATAAAATCACTCCAAAACGTGCTGAAGACTTGGTTTATGTGCATAGCAATCTTCGACTCTTATCAAGAAAGACTCCTAGTTATGCACAAGGAGCAAATCAAATGTGGGATATTGTTGGAGATACATTCGATTCACTTAATGATATTGGAGATCTTCAATTTGCTAGCCTTTCACTTGATAGAGGCCATGATTATTCAAGATGGAGATGAAAATAATTGAACTGTGTGTAATCATAAGTAAAATAATTTTTCTATTTTTCTACACTCGACACTATTGGGATGTTCTATTTTTTTTAATATTTATGTTATGAAATTTAAATATTTGATTGGATATATGACTTATTATGGACTCTTATATGTATTAAATATAAATTATATTATATATATTAAATATTTTATTTAATATCAAAACGTGTCCCAACGTGTCGGAATTTAGCATTTTTTAGAATTAACGTGTCAGCGTATCGTGTCGTGTCCCGTGTGCCTGTCCGTGCATCGTAGTTTACAACCATATCTTAACCGTTGATTTTCGTCAATCAATGATTATTATTTTCGCAAATCAAACTCATTAATTAATATTTAATTTGGAAGTTAACCGATTATATATGGTTATTATTTTCGCAAATCAAACTCAAACTCATTGAGAAAATTATATTAGATTTTATTGATATATGGAGAGTTGTTGCTTAGTAATTTTTTAGATAATTTTCAACCTGTTGTTAAGTTTATTTATTTTTTATTAATAACATTGCATTTCTTTGTTATTTATTTTTATTGACTCTTATAATTTTGAATATTTGTTAAAGATTGATATTATTTTTTAAAATCTTACAAATTCATATTGTTATTTCAAATCTTATGAATTCTATTAAAATCATTTAAAATTCAATTCTACGAGATCTTAATTGTAAAAAAAGTCTTTTATAAAAGTCTTTAAAATTTCTCTAATTTTAAAATATCTTTTAAAATCTATCTTTTAAAATCTGTAAAATCTTTATCTCAATTTTTTTTTTAAAATCTTAATCTTATACACCCCGTAAGTATTTTGTCACTTTGTGAAAGATCATTTATTTATTTTATTCTTCTGTCCTTCTTGGAATCTTGTTAAAGATGGTTCGACGTTACGTCGTTTACAAGTAAATAATTACGTATTATTTATAATTATATTTTAGAGTAAACACCCGTCCCTGTCAATATCTACGAAGTCTTTTTTAGTCTCTGACAATAAAAAAGGACCAAATTGCTTCCTGAAATTACAAAAAAAGGGCCATGTTAGTCCTTATGTCAACTCCTAAATATGTGGAGTGACCCTTTTCTTGTACTTTCAGGGACCAATTTGGTCTTTTTTTATTGCCAGAAACTGAAAAGAACTTCGTAGATATTCCCAGAGACTAAAAAAAGGTGTTTACTCTATATTTTAATAATAAAAATAATTATAACAAAGACAACTCATACGCAATTTTTTTTTATTTAACATCTGTGTCGCTATTTCCATGTTGATTCCAAATCGGCGCAAGAACCCTAATTTCCTTCACTAAACGTGGGCAGCACTGATTTAAGAGATCGGAGCCCTATTTTCTCAACTTTGAATCGATTTTCCAAATTGAAGAGGAAAGAGAAGTTCTCCCTCAGTACCTGTAAGGTGAGGTCTTTGCCTGATTCACTCTCCCCCCGCTTCGTCTGAGTTTGATTCAATGCTTGGATCTTTATGAGTATATCGTGGTTTCAATTCTTTTAATCTCTTAACATTATTATAGATTCTATCATTCTCATTGAAAAGGATTCGAAGGGATATCGTACAGTGTTTCGTTTCGATTTTATTTATATTATTTTTATTTTACTGTAACATAACCCTAGCTCTGATTGGTGTTGCGTCCGCAATACACAACGCTCGTGATTCTTTTGAGTTTATTTGGTTTCAATTCTTTTAATTTTGGCATTATTAGTAGATTCCAATTTTCTCACTGCAAAGGATTCGAAGGGATATTGTATAGGGTATCGGTTTTTTTTTCTTTTTCTAAGAGAACCCTAACTCTGATTGGTGTTGCGTCCAAAATATGCCGCAACATTTATGATTCTTTTTGTGTTTCGTGAGACTTGCAGTGTTGAGATTTTTCGAACTTTTGTAACTGGAATTTTTTTCTGCTCTTAATCGCAGGTGTTGGCTTTCAATAGATTGCAATTAGTTTTTCGGGGAACTTTGACGCTGTAGGGTTTATTTGTCTTTTATAAAAGAATCATTTGAGCACATACATAGAACATGTCAAGTAAGAAGGAGGAGAAATCTCAGGCTGCAGCTGAAAGAATCAAGGCTGCAGCTTTGAGTGCTGCTAAAGGTCTGAGTCGTGCTCAGGCCGAAAGGGCAGCAACTGCGGCTGCACGAAATGTGAATGCTTATGGTCAGAAGGAAGAAGGGCCTAGCAGATGGCAGGAGAAAAGGGAAGCAAAGAGGCAGATGTATTTGATGAGTACTGAGAAAGCTGTAAAATTGGGTGAAAGAAAAGACCTTAAGCCTACAATGTCAACTATGGGTGGCACAGCACAGTGCCAAAAGTGTTTCCAAAGTGGCCACTGGACATATGAATGCAAGAATGAACGGGTTTACATTTCGAGGCCATCCAGGACGCAGCAACTTAAAAATCCTAAATTGAGGGTGAATGTGTCTGTGACTTATGATTTGGATGATAATAACACAGATGCTAAGGAGGAAAAGGCTAAAGTGAGTTCCAAAAAAACCAAAAGGAAGCATCGGTCTGACTCTGATTCTGGTAGTGACAGTGAGGATTCAGTTTTTGAGACTGATAGTGGCAGTGGGTCATCATCAGTTACAGGATCCGATTATTCTTCAGAAAGTAGTTCTTCATCATCTGATTCAGAGGAAGAAAGAAGACGGAAGAGGAAGAAGAAGCAGAAGAAGAGTGGAAGACGCAGGAGGTACAGTACATCATCAGAATCTTCTGATTCAGATTCTGTTTCAGACTCTGATTCTGAAGATAGAAGCAGCCGGAGAAAGAGGAGGCATAATCGAAGACGCTGAGATAGACTGACGAATGTGTGGATGGGGATCAGCTAAGAGTTTGGTGAGTGGGTGACAGGGGAGATCAATCATCAATTCCACAGATAAAATCATCAAGTTTTCGGCAGTTATAGTGCTTATTGTGATATGGGTAATGCAGAATAAGCTTTGCTAGATGCTTGGCTTGTATTTCTTTTCTTTAACTACTTTGTTATCCTGAAGATACTCAGAAGTTAGATTTGATCTTTCACGTTTAACGTGCTTAATGTTTTGTGAGATGTTTAAGCAGTTGGATGGTTTTTGTAATTGATGCAAGAGTCAAATTATCTCATTTACAACTGAATGGTTTAAGTTTATTGTAATTGGGTTGGTTCTTGTATATTCCCTATTTCTGAGGGATTTCCTGCGTTTACATGACATTAAATTAGTTGCTCTTGAGCTTATTGCATACATCAGTGGCATACTTTATTCGTTTTAACCAGGGGTTCAATGTTCAGTTAAAGTGTTTGTCATGAATCCCAGTAGCTTTTGCTTTTTCATACTTTTGGTGGATCTCTCAGGTTTTATTCCCGCCGTCAATTTTAGTTAACAATCTTATTGTATGACAGGCCTTATTTTTTATAATCTATTTTTGTAAAGATTGATCCTTTTATCTCTGGAGATCCGTGATGTACGTTTTTTTTCGGGGGTCATGTATAACTGTGATGTAAGTGAAGCTGAAACTTATTTTGAGGCACTACTTGTTTGTTTGCAATCTGCGTTTAAAGCAACCTCAACACTTATTATGCCTTGAGCTAGCGCGGGCCGCTTTCTTGTGTTTTAAGATTTAGAACAATTACTTTATTTCTCTAGAAAGTAGCAGAAAGAACTACTAACATTCCATTTCTTCTCGTTAAGTTACGCGTCTAAACTCTCACGAGTCCTATTGAAAGGCGAGGTATTTGTGTCGTATTAGCACAAGTTTGATATGCATGCAATGCAGCTTCAACCTTCCTCTTTCCGCTACATCAGCGGAGAGGTGCAATCACGGGGTTAGCAAGGAGTTTACAAATGCTGCCCTGAATGGTTTGTCTTCGTTTTCCCTTTTGATAATGTTAGTCTTAAGATGATTAATGTTGTAGGCCGTATATTTTCGTCGGTTCCCGCTCTTCCTTCGCTCCGCGCCTCTTACTTTAGTGTAGACTTCATTGATACATGAACCTCCTCCATGACTTCCATTTTTCTACACTGGTGATAAAGAACATTCATGACAACACGGTAATTAGTCTTATCAAGGACTTCAAAATAAGTATAGGCTAAAACTTATTGCAAAAGATTATGAAGAATGTTATCTTTATATTTGTTTAACACATTTCAATAGTGAAAGCCCCTTCCCCTTTCCAAGTGTAAACAATTTTTAAGAATTTATGGCTATATATAATCTCCTTTAATAGGAGAAGTGAGATTTGATGTGACAAAAACAAAATCCATGGATCCCACTAGTTTTTTTTTTTTTAAAAAAGAGGTAGGATATTTATACTATCAAAAATTTGATAGTATGAATATTTTACCTAAAATAAAAAAATTTGGCACTATATTTAATGAGTGCACATGAATGATTTAACTTCTCCTATTAAAAGAGAAGTTTAAATCCCAAAATAAATACATATTCTACCAAATAAAATAAGGAAATTTTTTTTTATCTTTTTAAATGATATAACTCTGTGTCATTTTAGATTATTATTTAAGTTAGGATATTTATAATTTGATACAAACTAATCCAACGAGTTAAGTTAGTTGATGGGTCTATATATATCCCTTATATGTGTTCTTGTTTGGGAATTAAATCTGAGAGTTGGGTTTAAGTGGCAATATAAGTCGAAGGATGGACAAACAACCAAAAGAGCATATGTTCTAATTTTGAAGTCAAAGCTGAATAATTAATTGCGACACCATATGATTTGGGATTAGTCTCTTATGTGTACTAGTTTTTTTTTCCCTCTTGGGTCGTGGAGATGTCCGGAGATAATTAGGGTTATGGAAATAATAATGATAATAATTTTATTAATTTTTCATAATATAAAAAGCCATTTTTTAATTTCTGTTTTTCATAAAAATATCATAAGATTTTATCTTTTCCTTTTTCTTTTGTATGAGAATGCTCGTTTAGTTTAAATTAAACAACAGACAATACTTTTCAAGTTTGGATAAATATAAAAAAAATTGGATTATAGAATTATTTTTCAAAGATTAAGGTTTATTTGTTTGAATAAGTTAAGAATGATATTTTTAAAAGGTTTATTCGATTTATTTATTATTAAAAATATAATACTTATAAATCTATTTAAAGTTTACCCCTTCAACAACTTTCATATCATTTAAATGTTTACATAAACTCTGCCCTTTCTTTGTATAAAAAAAATAAATTAAATTTTACATAACTTATAGATCAGACTAGAATTTTATATTACCGTACAAAGCCAGACTTTAAAAAAAAAAAATTCCATTTAACTAGATATTATTATTATTATTATTGATTGCAAAACAGACGTGTATTGTACCTATTTAGGAGTAGTACAGTAGAGAGTGCGAGGACGGCAGAAAAACCCGCCAAAAGAGAAAGGCGAAGTGCGATTGAAGTCGAAGTGTAGCTCTCTACTCCTTCAATTTCATCCTTGCAAGATGAGTACCTTGAAATTTTGCCGCCAATGGTTAAATCATTCATTCTCTTCCACTTTTCATTCTATGGATATGAATACATTATATGTGAATATTGATTAATGTGTGTTCGTTCGTTTGTTCTTCATTTTTCAGCAACAACGCTCTGTACCCTAAGGAAGACAAGGAGCACAATATTCTCCTTTACGCTTGCCGCCACTGCGATCACGAGGTTCTTCTCTTCTCTTCTCTTGCTTTCGACTTCTCATTTATCGTTTAGTCTCGTTTCGTGCATTCTTGTTGCTAATAGTTAAAACCCTAACTACTTCTCCTAGTGGTAACGGCTTCTTCTTCTTTAAGATATTTTTGGTGCTTGACTAAACCTAAACATTTTTGCTCTTACCTCATGTATTTTCCCTTGTCTGAATCTGAAATTTACGATTCACAATTTCACATTGACCGCTCTACTGGTTAAATGTTGCTCGGATAGTTTTATTTGAAAGTGAAATTAGTACTGTTTTGTTGCTTTTGTGAACTTTAAAGTCTTTATGATGCCTTGGTTTATTGATGAATCTGATCAATTGGACATTGAACTTTAGAATAGCTACGATTTGCATATTGTGATTTTTGACAGGAATGGCATTTGTCTACTATTTTTTTCTGCCAGGTCCTAAGGAAGATAACCTGTTTTCCCCCCTACTGATTTTATGTATGAATGGCGTTTGTTTTGTTTTCACTCACAGTTGACTTATGTTTACTGAAGCATCAGACTTCTATATGCAGTTGTTGCTTTTATATTCTGACTTCATGCTAAACATCCCATGTATTGTTATAGTGGATTATTATGATGCCGCTTATTGTCAAAAGTAAATTGAGTATTGACTAACATTGTGCCTTTCATATATCATGTCTCTTGGGGGAGGTAACTTGGTTTAGCTGGTGAAATATCTTTCCATTGTTCCAAGGGCTTAAAATCTCTCCTTTATTATTTATTCACTTCTCTTTCCATTTTCCTCCTACCTTGTTGTAGATACTAAACCAGTCAAAAAATAAAATAAAATTGTAAACCTCTATGCATGAGCATCCCCGACTTGCAAGGGTAGAGGTGAAGATCAATTGTACACTACCTTACCTTTACATTTTTGCAAAGAGTTTGACTCAAACCCATGACCTTCTGATCACAAGGAGCAACCTTACCGCTGTCCCAAGGCTCTCCTTGAACCAGTCACAAGTGCAAAAAATCTGATGACAAATCTTCAAATGAAAGCGAGACAAGTATGTTGTTGAAGTTAAAATTTTTTGCACTGAACCAGTCACAAGTGCAAAAAACTATAACTTCAACAACATAACTGTCTTGCTTTCATTTGATGATCTGTCATCAGATTTTGTTTTACACAACGACATTAACTTTGGAAATATAGGATTAGAAGGGAAGAAAGTACTACACATTTTATTTATATTTTTGCTATAGCAATTGTTACCCGTTGTTTTTATTATGAAGAAGTTATTGCAAGGGGTCACATCCCATTTGATGTCATCAATTAAGTTTGGATATGCCTATTTGACAAGTTATTCACTGTTTTTCAGGAGGTTGCTGATAATAACATTGTCTACAGAAACAAGATACATCATTCTGTTGAAAAGCGAACTCAAGTGTTGCAAAATGTAGCTGCAGATCCAACTCTTCCTCGCACCAGGAATGTCCGCTGTTCTCAATGCAATCATGGAGAAGCTGTCTTTTTCCAGGTTAAATCCCTATTCTACCTACTGACTATGGCAGGGAAGAACTAATTTTGTGCTCATGAGTAGAATGTTAAATCCACATTTAATGGATACCCACCTCCTTCTGTGTGTATGGAAAGATGGGAAGAGAGGGGGAGGGAGAGTGATTAGGACTTCCATTGTGCATCCTACCAGCAATGTCTCTTCCTCTTTGGTCATGCAATCCTCTAATCAGCTCTTTTGGCAGTGCGTCATTCCCCTTTGCTAAGTTATTTTACTGTGCTCATCTTGTGTATTGCGACTCTCTAGCATCTTCAACATCACTAAGTTGTCTTTCTCGCTATGGTTTAAGGAGCTGGCATTGTATTTAGGATTTTTTTCTTTTAGCATGTTTATTTATAACAAGCTTAGTGTAAGTTTGAATTAGTTTATTTTGTGTTCAAACCAGCTTATAATCAAACTCTTGCTGAGAGCTTTTGGACAAAAGCAATTATATCCTAAAAATAATCAAATTAAAACGTGCATTTAAATCTCAAATAGTTTTAGCCTGAGAAGAAGTGTTAGAATATCTCGAAGTATTTTAGAATATCTGAGCACATCACTAGAATATCTTATAAGTTGTTTAGAGTATGTTGTGGAAACAATTATTCATCTGAATGAGGAAGCAATCATAGGAGTTGTTTCTTAATTTTGTTTTGTTTCCTAATTTAATTAGGGTTAATAGTATAATTGTATTAGTGGATTTGGACTTGTGCTACGAACATCAGATACATCATTACACACCATATCAATCTAATAGATTACTATTGAAAGCATCCTTTTTCTTTTCGTTTCTTTTCTTTCCCCTTTTTCATTCCAGTCTCTTCTTCCTTACCTAAACCCTATAATTTCAACAGTTTTGGAAAAGTTTGGTTCTTGTTCAGCATGGCTTGTTAGGGATCCCAGTATTCGTTATCATAATTTTCATGGTTTCTGGCAGATTGCTGAACTGAAGTGCATAAATTTTGCCAATTATTTTTTTGAAAAAGTTTCAATTGCATACCAGAAAATGCAATGTTGTAATCGTATGTTCTCATAATTCGGTGTTTTACTAAAAAATAAGAGACAAAAATAAAATTTCTTTTGCTGCTTTAAAAGTTTTTATATTTTATGCAAATCACTTTTTGTTTCAAATACTATATTAGTTCCTTAACCAAACACCCAACTGTGCGCCTTACTGAGGTCGCTCCTATTGGATGCAAATATCCATGCCATCCTCATTCCATTGTAACGCCTTGGGTCTGAAACTTTTTTATTTCCTTTTGAAGTTACATTGAAGAAATAATGCTCTTCTGATTGAAATTCTCTGTAAAACTTCAATTCATAAACTGAATTTTAGTTGGTTGGGGATGACCGGATGTTATGAAATTTTTGAATGTATGTAGGAAACGGCCAGAGGGGAAGAAGGCACTACACTTATTTTTGTTTGCTGCAATCCAAGCTGTGGCAACAGATGGAGAGACTAGGACACTTCATACCTTGCTCAAGTCAAGGTTCAACGTTGGGGAATTCAACATCTCTAATAGTTCACTCTTGGATGGGAGAGAAACACTGTTTTTGTATAATACTTGGCTGATACGAGGACATTCATACTGAAGTTTTTGTGTTAGCTGTTTAAATTCCCTAATCACTGATTATTGATGGAGTTCATGGTTAAATCCTCATCATTTAGGTTTTCTAAAGGGTGGGAGGATGTACCAAAGTACTTGTCCTCTTTCTCATTCCCATTACCAACATTTACATTCAGTATTTGCTTCTGATGGCATAGCTTCTCCCACTGTTAGACGTTTAGATGATCTAGCCCTGACCACTCCCCATCTAATTTTTCATAACAAGTCTACATAGTCTAATTTTACTTTATGTATTCTTTCAATTGCATGGTAATTTCCACTGCCAGAGTAATTCCCAGGATCCTTAGTACTTGATCTGTTCCCATCAACATCACTAGCTTCGTGAGCAGTTTTTGATGATGAGGCAACCAACTCATCCTGGTTTTCATACTTATGCTCAGTGATCTCCAACACAGGTGTAGACGTATTCCGTGCTGGCAACTTGAAAATCAATCTCCTCCTGTTCATTACATTAGTATAAGTCTCGTGTTTTTCTTGTCCTCAGATTCATCACTGTCAAAATTAGACTGCTGCGATGTTGATTCACTATCTGACATATCACCGTCCAAGATTTCTTCACCATCTGCTTAGCTTGGTTAAGAAGCAAGCATACATTGAAAGCCAGAGGGGACCACATCGCACTCCCACCATACATTGAAACCATGGTGCCCGAAACAGTGAGTCAATGGACTAAGTCGCATCTGCAAGGCTCCTTATTCAATTTACCATCTCAAAGGCTCAAACAAATATGCAAGGACATAATCATTAATCATTACAATTGAAACCCATTCAATTCGGAAACAAACATCTCGTAAAGGAAACGGAAGATTACAAATGTGTTCTGTATGGCACTTTTCTTACTGTTCATGGTTCTACCAATATTTAGGTGCGGATAAGGGGGAAGGACCGGAAGTGAAAGGATTCAGAAAATTTTGTTATAGTGGCCTATTTGACTAATTGGGAGTATTAGAAGTTAATACGGTTAAATTCAAATGGATGGAAGAATGAAAAAAATTAAGAATTTTAAATCTTAGAAACTAAATTAATAATATTTATCTCTAAAAATCTAATTAATAAAGTATATATCTTTAAAGAATCGAGTAGGATTTTACTTTAGTAATATATGCATGTGAATGGGAAAGTGAGTGTGCTCCCTTTACCTCATGAGTTATAAGATTCTATCATAAAGAAAAGATTTGTAGATAAATTATATAAAAAAGATATAAATTGAGCAAAATGAATGATTATAGCATTAACGTTATCTTATTATAAGCAGTTGATAAGATTATTACATGGTGAGGTTCTTATAGGCCCTTTAGCGGTAGGTTTTATTTATACGACGGCCTTATATATAGCTCGAAAGGTACTTCATTTGAAGTTGCCAAGCGTGAGAGCTCCATTGCCATCGCCCTTTAATTTTATGTTGGTGTTGTTGGTAACACCAAATAGCTTTTGATTGTCTCCATTCAAAAGGCCAGCCGCCGGAGCTTGAAGAGGGAGTGGAGTGTTGATGTTGGGATTTGATTTATGCTGAGTCGACGTTGCCAATGCCTGGTTGCCATCACCTCCATCGATCAAGTCAGCAAACCCTCGTACGAAACCTGCCATTGGCTTAACCAATAAGGACTAAGCAGTAAAGAAACTTTTTTTTGTTGTTGTTGCTTTCTTCCTATACATAATGCTGAAGGAAAACTACCTTTTTATAGATGCATTACGAGAATATCAGGGCAACGGGTCCCTCCACTCCCTTATTATTTTTATATGGGATTTATACTTAATACTTGTGCTGTTAGAAGTATAATCTCTTGTCATAGACTCATCAAATTGTGTGTCTTTAATTTTTATTTATTTTAAAAAAATATGGGTCCATTGGTAATTGTCTCTGTCTTAAAATCTCAACCTCTACTCTCATTGGAGAGGTGTAAAGCCTTTTTTTATATAAGAGAATGATCCGTTTATCATTTTTTTTTTATAAATTTTTGTAAATTATACTATGTACTCCTAGAAATATATAATGTAACTTAGTGTACTTTTGGGAGTATATAGTGTAGTTTGTAAACAAAAAATTTGTAAATATAACCCTTCTCTTTTATATATAGATTCGTTTTTTCTACAGTCAATGTAGATAATTTATTTACATTGAGCTTAAAACGATATCGTTTTGAGACTGAAATTAAGGTATTTTTATAATTATAATTTATTTCAGGATTATATTAGTCTTTTTATTGTAATTTTTAATTTTTTAACCTAAAACGACGTTATTTTGGGAGCAAATATAGATAACTTATTTACATTTATTATAAAAACATTAAAGCCTGTGTATATATGTATATATTTAGGGCTTGCAATTTCTCATGTTGTATGAGAAATTCAAGTTTTCCTACCCAGAGAGAAAGGGGTGGGGTCCACCTTAAAGAAAAAAGGAATATATTTTTCTCATGTTGCATGAGATAACAAACCCCTCCTACTCATACATCAAAAGTTGTGCCAGCATTTATTTATTTTTTTACTTTTTTTTTAAAGAGTAGACTCACATACTTTGTGTCTATGACATTAGATAACAAATCTCTTATAACATGAGACTTGTATTTCTCAAGAAAAAATAAAAAATAAAAAATAAAAAAGTGATTAGCACGGACATCGAAATGAGAGTGGTAGAAGAATTGGCTACATGTAGCTTGAATGGTAGGCTCCTAATATTCTGTAAGCTGAGCTTTTCTGTAGCCGATTATTTCGAAATTCAGAGAATATTTTCCAACCATTCGTTCACACTTCAAAGTAACTTAAGGCACACATTTTCTAAATTCCATATTACCAAAATAGCATATGCCACAATTTAAAATTCCCCGTTTGGTCTTATGGCAGTAATACATATCTTCCAGGGCATCTTGTCCTATTGGCTAAACAGGTTGGAATCCCACTTCACTTTGTAGCTTAGTTTTGAAGGCACAATAATATCTAAGGAATCTTTTCGATCGTGCAGAGCTTGGTTGCAGTATTTGTGAAGGGCATACCCTGTTTTGCAAGGGTTTGAGATGGCGTATAGGGTAGGGTCATTTAGTCTTGTACAACCCATGGCTTCCAAATCCGTGGAATTTTAACTTGTCCCGCACCAATTTAGCTTTTTGATGTGATATATAGGGCTTGTTTTGCTTGTAAAAAGAAGTACTTTTTATGTGTTGCTTATTTTAGAAGCGTTTTTATAAAAGTTAAAATTATTTAAATTTTAAAAAAATATTTGATTTTTTAATTTTATTTTTTTTAAAAGGTAAAATATTTAGTTTAAAAAAAAAATTGACTTTTTTTTTTTTTATAACAAATTGACTTTTTTTTAAACCAGACATGCGAATGAACTTTTTAGTAGAAATGTTTCTTTATTTCTTAAAAAAAACCAGTTTTTGGCTAAAAAAAAGTTCCAAAGAGTAAAGCCAAGAAAATGAAGGAAAGTGTGAGAAAAATTCAACTTAGAAAATGGTTACAGACATTGGTCTCTCCGAGTCAGACAACCAAATCAAGAGCATACGCTTGCCAAGGTGACAATCTCCACTATGGACTACATTCACATGCCATTCTTCACTAGCTTATTCCTATTTATTGGCAACTAACAGCATGGCTTTTCCAATGCTGAAGTATTTAGAACTTGAATTCGTTTATATAAGTCGACTTCATTGTTATATTAGAATCATAAATTTAATGTTCGCTCGCTTTATACATTTACAAATATTGTTCTTGATTTAATAATGAGCTTCTGATGATATCAAACTTCGAATTTAATAAAAATGCTCATGATTATTATGTAATTTTGGATGGATCTTGTAAGATGGTAAATAACGGTGATGGGATGAAGACGTGAATTAAATTTTTTGGATTTAATTATTATTTAATTAGGATATTGCATTAGTCACTGAAAATGAAATAGAAATTAATAAAGAGAAGAGGTATAAAAACCTCATCAATTTATTGGAAACCATTAGAGATCGATCATACACCAGTTTTCAGTGATGCGACACTATGATGTACATATTATAGAAGATTGTATCCTTGCGATACACAACTGAAATGGCTAATTATACGTTCTAGTGGTGGAATCAAAGCCACCAAAGATGATGGATCCGTTACCATTGCCCTTGGTATAACCAGTGTTGTTTATAAGGCCTCGCATGTTTTGTGTGCCTGTGTTGTTAAACGAGGCAGGGGGCAGCTCCTGTTGTGTGGTATTGTGCCTAGGAGCAACAACACCGCGGTTGGGAGTGTGTCGAGGTTGTGCCTCCACATGATCGTTGTCAACATCATCTTCTTCAAGGAGGCGAAGTAACTGCCGAAGGGAACTTGCCATATTCAGCTAGGAACTATGTGAAGCTTGTTTCCGTGGCTTACAAGTTTGATCGTTTAGGAAAATCAAGTATGCTTTTATATCAAGGTGAGGAATATTGGTGCAGTAGCTTGCGCAGGAAGCAAATGTTAACTTGTTTTTTTTCTATAGAAAATTAAATAACATAATTGAGATGTGCTATCTGTAGAGCTAGTGCGGTATGTGATTCCCCACTGCAAATTGGTTTTCATTTCATCAGGGATAGAGATTACCAAAGAAATACCTCACAAATACGTTTTTTTTTTAAATAAAAAACTCGTGGTTTAAGACTTAAGTTATGACATGTACAATAAGATAAAATATTCAAATTTTCCATCCCTTTCTCTCATAGTTATCTTAATACCTTTATTCATAATTATCTTAATATCATAGGCTTCATGTGTCCACTCAATAACTTAAGTTTTTAATAGAATGAATTGTATAATATGATATTAGATTATGATCAAGTGATATAGAATTCGAATTTTGTTGTTCCATTCTTCTAATTAAAATAAATAAATTTAAACATAAGGTAAAAAAAATAAACATATGCATTATCACCCTTTAAAGGTAAAAATATTTCTCTTATGAAAAGGTTTGTTAAGAAATATAATAAAATATTATTTATAAGTAATTAATCAAATTAACTAAATTCAAGATGATAATGAATGCGTAAGTCTTATTTTTAATTTTTTAATTTCACCACCAATTCATTAAATACACGATTATTTTTTAATCAGATAAAAATATTTGATTCTTTTAACTCCTGCTTTTTTTAGAAACTAAAATTTTTAGCTTTAAAAAAAAATAACAAGTTTTTAGTTTTTTTTATGACTTTTATTTTTTAAAAAAAATAGGCATCTAAACAGACATGTTTATGAGAAGTGCTT